ACAACTTTATATTTTACTGCTTTGATAGTCTAAGTATCTTAAATGCACATTTTATGATTTTAATGTGAAGCAGTAAACGTTTAAAAAGATGTTTACTGCTATGCAAAAACATGAGGTAAAACAGTTGTTTCGAGCATTTATTGTATAAAAGTAAGTTCAGCTAGATTAACATACTGCCCTTGAGAAAAATTGCTTTCCTAACTCCTTACTTTCAGATGTCATGGTCACACTTTGATTGAAAAGGACTTAATGTGTTGATTTATAATGAATGCTCAACCCTTATAATGGTAATTTGTGTACAAAAGCCATTGCTAAGCAGATAATGTTTTTATTTTGGCTGAATAAGAGCTTTTTTTCCATGCATGGCAGCTCTTTGTTCATTGTTTCTGGGCCCCAGTAAGTGAACACTTAAAACCATTTTCAGGGAAGATGTTATACATCTCTTCTGAGAAATCTCATGTCATATGTATTCATCCATAGTAAACTATAAAAGCTTGTTGTTAATCTAAAATAATCATAATAAAGCCTAAAAAAATTGCCTAAAATATTCTATACCAGGTCTCTGCATTATAATTTTAATATTTCTACTACTATATTTAGTTATTCTTACTGAAGAAGTTTATCTTGATTGTTTCTAGTTTGCCATGTACTGTCTCCTGCTATTTTATAAAGTACTGAAGGAAGAACTGAGTCCAATCCAGCCTGTTGGCAAATTCCTTTGTGTAAAGCTGGTAGTTTTTGTTTCTTTTTGGTAAGTGTTGCTTTATCTTAAATGTTCTCATTTTCCAAAGGACATAAGACTGTTGACTAGGGAGGATTTTTTCAAATAGTTTTAGTACAGAAAATGAATTAAAATGTCTCTAATTACCTTTTTAAAAGTTCATCCTTTTAGCCCTTGGTTTTTCATCAGGAAATAATCAGATGGCCACTGTCACTTTTAAAAAAGAAAAGAATTTGAGACAACCTAAATGTCTCAACACTAGAGGAATTGTTAAAGGAAGGAATCATTAAAATAAATCGTGGTGTTTCCATATAAGAGAATACTTTGCAGCTTGGAAGATAAACATAATACAGTATAGAATATTTAATAATGTGATGAAATATTTATCAGTAAAAATATTTTCTAAAACAAATGGCAAAATTGTACATGGTCCCAGTTTAGTAACAGGGTGGATCATAAGGGTCCTAGAAACAAATACACCAAATTTAACAACATACAAATAATATAAAAAGTGGGAAAAGAAGAAGTCCTTATTCCTACCACCCAGAATAATTTCATATTATAAACGCTTGTAGAACTTAATATGTTTAGTATATTGTGGATATAATTCTTTATCAGTGAAGTGAGATATAATTTTGTTGTTTAGGATTTTTTTGGTTTTGCTTAGTATTCTGTTGTGTAAATGTGACTTTTAAACTAATTTCCTATTAACATTTAGGTTCCTAATTTTATCACCATTACAAGCAATAGTAAAGTGAATATTCTCGTCTGTAGAACTGTGAAAGCTTGTCTAGTTATCTCATTGTTAGCTGATTAAATTGAACCTGGGGTCATACATATCCTTGGATTTGCTTGAAACGCTCAGTATGATGTCCTTAGAGTTAGACCCCTTCTTGAGTGTGTCCCTAGTTCCAGTACTTCAAACAAGACTGGTTTCACAATGTTTGTTAATCTGAATGATCAGTATGTGTAAATAACATGTAAGTATCTACCCTTTACTTCATTTTAAATGCCTACTGTACGGATTAGGCATTATCTATGTTTAGGGAGAACTTAAATCTAGTTACTTATGCACACTTTCAAAACAAAAAGACATATAAATCAAGTACTGAAGTCCTAAAAATACATAATCCAAATTCATGTGATGAAACTGTACAAGAATAAATTTGTAAGGCAAGTAAATATTTTGATATAGACACATTGTCTTCAGGAACATGCTGTGAAGGCAAGTTGTGGTCCACAGGTTGTGGGGGTTAACTTTTTAAAATGGCATATTTTTAAAACAACTGCTCATTTTATGCTTGATATAGATTTGGCGTTTACCTTTTCCTAACATATAGGCAAGCAGTAGTTATTGCTTTGTTGGTAAAAGTTGGCGTTATTTCTGAAAAGCACACGTGGGAATGGCGAACTGTAGAAGCTGTGGCCACAGGCCTCCAGGTAAGTAGTGCTATCTCTGAATTCAGTAGAACTTTACCATTTGTTAAGCATTTTTATATTAAGCATATATATATTTTTTTAATCCTCACCCAAGGATGTTTTTGTATTAATCTTCAGCTAGGGTGGGAGGGAGGGAGAGGAAGAAAGGGAGAGAGAAACATCATTGTGAGACACATCCACTGGTTGCCTCCCAAGGCACACCCCTGACCAGGGCTCAGGACGAACTGCAACCGAGGTACATGCCCTTTACTGGAATCGAACCTGCGGCTCATTGGTCTGCGTGCCGACGCTCTAACCACTGAGCAAAATCGGCCAGGGCAAGCATATTCTCTCTTAAACCTGACAGCAGTGCAGGCTATGGGGCTACTGTTATCTTCACTTTGCAAGAGAAATGGGGGAACCCTAGCGAAATTGGCTCTTAATTACTAATTAGTAGTAGGCCCCAGAATACAATCTGGATTTTGTTATTCCTAGTTAATCTATCTGCATTTCTGCTCTTAGTCCTTGGGCAGTGGATTGCACATTCTGTGTACTTTGCTAAGAAATACTTGATTTAGTGCAAAATAGATTTAAATTGTTGGCATTTTTAGGTCAAAGTAATTATTTTGGAAAATAGGAAAATGGTTATACTTATGGGGAAAAACTCAGCTATTGATACTTAAGTACTTTTGAAAAGGAAGAGTGTTTTTCCTTTACTACAAAATTAGATTTAAACTCAAAGCTGGCTGATATTTTTGTTGTAGGACTTTATTATCTGTGTTGAGATGTTCCTCGCTGCTATTGCTCATCACTACACTTTCTCATATAAACCATATGTCCAAGAAGCAGAAGAGGGCTCATGCTTTGATTCCTTTCTTGCTATGTGGGATGTTTCAGACATTAGGGATGATATTTCTGAACAAGTAAGGCATGTTGGTAAGTACCAGTCATTTAATTCATTCAAAAACGTAATTTTATTAAGGGCAATTTAGTAGCTATTTAAGAGATGAAAAGACAGTACCACAATAAGTCTCTTTTATATATGGAGGGGGGGGGGGCTTATTTTTAGCATGTAAGTTTATAGTGCTAAAATATGAATACTTAATTTTTGGCTAACTTGGAAACCTTTATATTACTTTAAAGGAAGGACAGTCATGGGACATCCTAGGAAAAAATTTTTTCCTGAGGATCAAGATCAAAATGAACACACAAGCTTGTTATCATCATCATCACAAGATGCACTTTCTGTTGCCTCTTCTGTGCCACCTTCACCTGTGGGTCACTATCAAGGGTTTGGACGTACTTTGACTCCCCAGACTACCATAGCTGACATAGCTGATGAAATAGGTAATGATACTACAGAAGAAAAAAGAGAACCTTCAGATAAACCTGTGGCCTCCTGAACAGTGTGTGAAAACAAACTGCACTGCTACTACCATGTTATTTCAATACCTGGTATCGCATCGCTCAGGATTTTGTGCTTGGGACAAGCCATAAATGATGGAAAATTTCAACACAAAGACAGGCGAAAGCCAGGTACTACTGGATTTATATAACTAAATTTTGTATGTCACAAATAACCAATCTAAATATCCTAGACTTAGACTTGATTTCTTAACATTAGAGTATCACATACTCAGATGATAGAAAAATGACAGTGTACTAAGAGTTCCTGATGTTACATGCTTTATCAAGAGGATGGGCATAAAAATAATAATAATGACAATAATAATGCTTCCTACCACTGCTGCATGAATATAGTGCTCTGGAGTTAGCAGAAAGTTAATTCAGAAATATGAATTAGTGGAACGTAATCATAATCATGTGCCATGTATTTCTCAATTGGATGTCTTTCAATAAATAAGAACTTGTCATTTATCTTCCGCAATTTTTTTCTCTCATTCTTAAAACAAAAGCCATTAATGTTTTAACAAAAAGTTCTTGATTAGAGAAGCATAGCATAAAATAAGTACAAAAATTTAAGGGTTAAAAATTATATACCTACAATGAAATATACCTCTTATTTTCCTATTAGGATAAATATCTAGAACCTAACTTATTCATCTTAACACAAATACTATCTAAAAATCATTTGCAATAATGCTAATAGATTAATAAGTCGCCATGACAAAGACTGGAACAATAAATAAGAAACTTGTGATAGAAAATGAGTCTACTTTTCCTCAGTGCTATTAAGATGTCAGCAAATGTAAACCTATAAACCATAGTCAGAAGACATGTAGGTGCTATTTGGGAGAAACTACTTAGGATGGAGTTTCTCAACACATTGGGTCGTGTTTAACATGTTATACTAAAAATAAAATATAGAATGTGCCAGAGTAGAATTTTGTAAATAGCAATGGTATTATTTCTCAAAACCCTTACTTTACATACTTATATACATACACATTCACATATACATACTGGTTCACAGTAGTTAGGTACATAGTCTTTATTTTGTCCACTCTCATCAACTAAACATTTCTATTGAAAGCAAAGCTGGTAGTGTAATATTACAGATAATGAAAATAGGCATGTGGAAAGAAGGTACATCTTTTCTTTGCAGCTTACAAAGAGCACAAAGTATGATAAAATCTTATTAATCTAATCCAAGTCTAAACATTGGACCAATTATATGTTTCTTAAAACATTTTTCAAAACTTTGAAAAATACTGGTTGAGATTTAATTCTTTCTTGAATTTATCAACTTTTTCATTTTTCTAGGCCAAAGTAGGCCAGGAAAAATGTTCCTTCCTTAAGATTTTATTTCTCTCCTAATTCTTTTACTCATAATTACTTTTAGCTTATAGATTAAATTCTTACATGTAAGTTTGTATTCCAAAACACAAAACCTGAGAAATATTTCAGAACTACAGCCAGAGTTTAAAAGAAGCAATCTTGTAATTTACAGGTCACCATAACCTTCAGTCTTCAGTGGAAGTCAACGTTTTGATGTTTCCCATTATAAGTTTGGATTTAAGGGAAAAAAGCCAAGATACCACAATATGTAAAGTTTTGCTTTACTTACTGACATGACAATGAAGATGACTCAAAACACTTTATAGCTTTAGCAGGTAGACAAGAATGTTCAGTAAAATTTAGTCTACAGTGTGTAAAACTAAGCAATAAAGACAAAATTTCCTAATGTGGAAACTAATGACAGCCTTTTTCAGAAAGGAAGTTGGCAGCAAATATTTTTGTAATAATGCCACTCGATAATTTAGTATCTTTTATATACACTTTATTAAGGTCAATTGAAAAAAAATATTCGACCAATACAAGGAATTAAGTCTTTACACCCCCCACTTTATGATTACAATTGCACTGTTCACACCAGGAAAACTGTACTTGCTCTGCTCAGTCTTCCGTTAGGAAACTGCCCTTCAGCGCTTTACTGTGATGCTGACATTGCTTTTGTGGTGCTGGACGTCGAGCGTGAGCTCCTCCCCCACTTCCACCTGGATGGGATTATCTAAAACCGCCGCGGCCTGTTTCCAGTGGGAGGCTCCGCTGGAAGTGTCCAGCCTAATCTCGTCATCGAGGTGCAGATGATACCAAAATGGAATGGCAGTCACTTGTCCAGATTTACAAATGTGTACCTAGGAAAATGAAATCGTGACGATTTCTTCAGAACAAATAGACTTGAAGAAGTCTTTGCCTTTTTAGTCCGTTTTAAAGCCAAAGTTCCTAAATATATTTTATTATCCAATTCAGATTAATAGCAATATATTTTATTCACTAATATTTACCCAAGCCCATTTTTGTATGTTATTCAAAAAGAAATAACATTTAAATCTTCAAAGAAGATGGCCAAAACAATTTTATGCACATAGAGTATCGCCTAGTTTAAGATAATTATTCTGCATATGACAAGAGTGATTATTTTATATTACCTTTACTTCTCTGTTAGAAGTGTTCAAATAAGGAGTCATTAAGTCCAGTCTTAAGAGTTCCACTGGCTTGCTTAAAGGTATACAAGGCAATAAGGACAGGTCCAAAAATGCACGTATAGGTACCTAAAGAAAGTATAAATTTTTCACTTTAACTCAATTCTTTTTGTGGCCAAGGCTCATTCATTTGCTTTATACTTGCCTCAGTATGATATAATGCTTTTTGCATCTATTACCTCATGTAACTCAATTCCTACATCAGTCTTAATGTATAAGGAATTTCATGATTCCAGTTTTACAGGAAGAGTAAACTAAGGTTTAGGCAGGTTATAAATCATTTGTCTAAACCATGATTTCAATTATCTATAGATTCTTTGCTTTGATGAAAGCAGTTTAAATTTTTACTTAAACAGCTCAAAATGTTTAAACCAACAAACTGTACAACATTAATTATTGAATTATTACAGAAAATATGCCAAATTCAACCAAACAACTTAATAGTGGATTTTGTTTGAAAAATAAAGTTTTGTTTCTATAAGGCAATGATTCTTAAATTAGTTGCAAATTAAAATCACCTAGGGAGTTTTTTTTCTTTATTTTTTTAATCCTCACCCGAGGACATGTTTAGAGAGACACTGATCAGTTGCCTTCCATATGTGCCCAACCAGGAACTGAACCTGTAACCCAGGTATGTGCCTTGTCCAGGAATCAAACTGGCAATCATTCAGTGCACAGGATGACCCTCAACTGACTGAGCCTCTCCAGCCGGGCGAAATCACCTAGGCAGATTTCAGAAAGTCTGGCTGTGTTCAGGCCACACATCAGACTGATATGGGGTTGGTCTTCAGTTACCAGTAGTTCTGAAAGGACAGTCATGTGCTGCTTAACCAGGGGATACGTTCAACAGGTGATTTTGTTGTGGTAACAACACAAGAATGCATTTACACAAATCCAGATGGTACAGCCCACTACTGTAACTGTATGTGCCATACTTTCTTTTTTTTTATCCTCACCCGAGGACATTCTTGCATTCATCTTCAGACAGAATGGAAGGGAGAGGGGGAGCAAGAAGGAGAGAGAGAGAGACATTGATGTGAGAGAAACACCCGAGTGGTTGCCACCCACATGACTCCAACTGGGGCCAGGGAAAAACTGCAACTGAGGTATGTGCCCCTAGCAGGAACCGAACCCGGAACTCTGGACCCCGGGCTGATGCTCTAACCACTGAGCCAAACCTGCCAGGGCATATGTGCTATACTTTCATATGACTAGCAGCACAGTAGGTTTGTTTACACCAGCATCACCACAAACACTTGAATAATGCTGTTCTCTATGGCATTACCATAGCTATGATGTCACTCTAGGCAACAGGAGTTTATCAGGTCATGACAATCTTATGGGACCACCAGTGGGATATGTGGTCTTTTGTTGACTGAAACATCATTATGGGGCACATGACTAGAGTTAAGGCTGAGAACATAAGCCTCCTCATTTTTTCTCTTTTTGTTAATCCTCACTGGGGGATATTTTTTCCATTGATTATTATTATTATTTTTTAATCCTCACCCGAGGACATTTTCCATTTTTTTGTTCAGATAGAGTGGGAGGGAGAGGGAAACATCGACATGAAAGGGACACATCGCGTGGCTGCTACCTAAGTGACCCAACCAGGGCTGGGGACAAACTGCAACCGAGGTACGTGCCCTTAGTGGGAACCGAACCCAGATCTCTCTGGACCACAGGCCGACGCTCTAACCACTGAGCCAAACCGGCCAGGGCTATTTTTTTTTTAAAGAGAGTGGGGGGGGCATCAGTGTGAGAGAGGCACATTGACTCCCACACACACCCAAACTGGGGGCAGAGATCAAACCTACAACCCCAGTACGTGCCCTTGAATGAGAATCAAACCTGCGACACCTCATTTGAAATAAAAAGGAAACATTTTAAAAGTGCCTTTCCTGTCTGAATAAAATATCAGAGAGCAACTGTTCAAAGGGAAACAGTGGACACAGACACATCAACCTCTCCCTGGACATCCCTGAAGGCATAGTCCTTCCCTAACGCTGATTTTTACCCATAACAAGTTCCTTTGCTCTAGGAAACTGATTATCATACTAATCCAGCTAAACACAATGACTGTATAAAACTATGGGGAGAGAGAAGGTAGACTGGATAACAGCCACATGATTGAATTTTTCTTCTAGATACTTACCTGAAACTGGTTAATAAAAGGTGCTATATTTAACCCAAGAGTTCGTGCTGTTCCTTGAACAGCATTCTCTTCCACCAGTGTTTGTGATTCCACGAGCAACCCAAACATTAGCACATACTGAGGAAAGATCTTGCCTCCAGACTGTAGCAAACACCTAGAGAGAGAAGAGTGTTTTAAAAAGCATCTGGATGCCCTACATTTTATTAATACCAACAACTAAATCATGATGAATTAGTGAGTTACAGACTAGATATATTCTAATGGTCTTTATGTTACTGGCTGGTAATTCAGAATGGTAAGCCACTGGAAATAATTTCCCAACAAGTCCAGGTTAAGGTGACTGCTGGATCTATGAAAGAAAAATAACCAGTCGGCTAGATTATGTCTTTAGATTCAGGAAGTCATCTATGGATATTAAAACTAGTGGGTAAAAGTTAATTGGGGGAAGCGTATTTACATAGTTTCAAAGTACCACCCCCACAAATGACTTATTCAATACAAAGGGAAAAATAGTAACTTACTATGGAAGAACCTTATAGATACAACTTAAACAAACTGATATACATTAAATTTAATAATAACTGGAATAAAGCCACACTGTGTTCCTCCTACGGTGACAAAATGTGTGTGGTATTCCTCTCTAAAATGGGTCATCTGAATCTTTTTTTTTTTTTTTATCCTCACCCGAGGACATTTTTTCTATTTTTTTGTTCAGATAGAGTGTGGGAGGGAAAGAGAGAGAAACATCGACGTGAAAGGGACACGTCGAGTGGTTGCCACCCACACGACCCAACCAGGGCCGGGACAAACTGCAACCGAGGTACGTGCCCTTAGCGGGAACCGAACCCGGGTCTCTCAGGACTGCAGGCCGACGCTCTAACCGCTGAGCCAAACCGGCCAGGGCTGGTCATCTGAATCTTGTAAGAAAACATGAATATTCCACAAAATAAATGGCCTACACTTTTCAAAACTATGAATGTCATGAAAAACAAGAACTATTCTGGATTAAAGGAGACTAGAGAGACAAGAAAACCAAATGCAATGTGTGCTTCTGGACTGGATTCTGGACCAGAAACAAAAAAGCTATGAAGGGTATTATGGCAACAAATGGTGAGAAATCTGAGTGAGATCCGTGCCTTAGATATCAGTGTTATGTCCATATGAATTTCTTGATTTTGATAATTATGGTTATATAAATGAATGTCTTTGTTCTTAGGAAATAAACACCAAAGTATTTAGGGATAAGATATCTGATACTGACTCTAAATAGATCAGAAAGAATAAGATGAATGAGGCAAAATATTAACAGTTTGTGAATATGGGTGTAGGTATATGTTAAGTTCTTTGTACTATTCTTTAACTTATCTATAAGCTTAATATTATTTCAAAATAAAATGTTAAACACTCTGAAAGCAAAAACAAGGTTATTCAATATCCAAGTGCTCTAGAACAGAGTGTGAGTAAAGGGTTAACAAAATCCTTTCTCCTACAATTATCTTGGGTTCATCTTGTTTCCCTGTAAATCCCACATACGGTTGAAAGTTGGCTGTGTTATCAGCAACACTGCTAGATAAAAAAAAACAATATTAATGTTAATAGGTAGATCGCATTTGGACTGAGAGAACTATGAACAAACTGTGAATATGCCCAATGGGAAGCTGCACTACCTCTGGCTTCCCTAACTGGTATAACTTGCAACCAAGTGTTCCTATTGTTGGGAATGGGAAGCTGCACCCATGGGAGATGTTAATTCCTAAATGAAATTTAGGGCTCTCAAGCCAAGGCAGTCCCGCATCCACCTACATGGTCCGTTTCCTCACACCTACACTGTGGGAGATGTGAGGGGTGGAGGATCACCGAACACCATCAAATGAAGCAGAGGTGGAGGATGCTTTAAGGTGCTTTAAACCAAATAATTATTTTCATTTGACATGTTTACAATCAAACTAAATTACTAAATAATCCAAGCTGTTTTCAAACTGAACTTCCAGATTAGTAAGAAAAAAGCAATAAGGAATACATTACTGGGATAGCAGGGGAAATTTTAAATAATAGTATTTTATCAATGCAAAGTTTCTTGAGTGTGATCATTTTATTGTGTTAGGTAGAGGAAAGCCCTTGTTCTAAGGAGACATACAGAGGCTAATTGTTAAAATAAGGGTCAAAGTTATAAAGTCAACCATGATCAAATGACTGAACACACAAAAGAATTTTCAAGCATTCACTGTTAGTTACTATCTTGCAATTTTTAAGTTTGGAATTTTATAACTTTTCCAAATGAAAAGCTGATGGAAAAGTTTACAATAGGTAAACAGGCTGCTGCAGTAATAGCTCTCCCTAAAGACTAGCTGATTCAAAGCCAAATCATAACCAGGTCACTTGAGCACAGAATCAGCAAGGAAAGTTAGAGATGATTCCTAAATGCAGTGACACCAGACTGATCAAAACAAGTCATGCTCCTAAACCAGGATAATCTCTTCCACTAAATATGAGCACATGATCATTAGCCTAAAAATGGGCTTCACCCTAACCCCAATGTTCTACTCATTTGTTATTCCTTTCCTATTAACTTTTTAGCATTTTAGATAAAGTCTGGTAGAAACTGTTCACAATTGGTAAAATTACATACCTCATAATAAAATCATATAGCTCTTAACAAAATTCCTATCTATGCCTTTACCAAACCGCATAAAATTTCAACCCCAAATAGCCACAAGAAAGTACCATTCTATGAAATTAGCAAGCTGAAATTTTATTTGCCTTTAGTTACCCTGAACATCTATTTTTATAGATCTCTACTTATTTCCCATATTATATATAGGCCGTCCAATCCCAAAGCAGGTTCTCTTCTTCACATCTACAGTGCAAGGGGTCTTTGAGGGGGAAAAAATGAGTAGTGACATGCACACAAAGAGAAAGGTATGACATCTTAGGTCCTGAAAAGCAATGCTTGAGGAGCATACAAGATCATGACTCAATTGTACAGATGTGCCATTAAAGAACCAGAAGAATTTATATAAAGTTTAAGCTAAGAAAAAACCCAAAAACCCAACAGTTATAGTTTGTGTTTTACCTGGATATTGCAGCTTTTTCCATTATTTCCTGCTGAATGAGCCCAGATGGCTCAATGACATCCAATATAATTATACTCCACAACTTGTCTGATTTTGGCCTTTGCAACACAGCAGATTCGTCTTCCCCATGTCTCAACCAAAACTCAAGTGTTTCTTTAGGAAAATGATTGGCTTCAGAGATGAGGTCCAGAGTGATACGATGCTGGTCTTTCTCCACAGAACTATAAGGTTTAACTTGCCCAAGTGTGCCAGCTATTATAGGCAGAATAGAGAAGCCTTCAGACACATCTAACACGTAGAAAGGTTCAGAGGCACTCTGTCCAGAATTACTCTGTCCACTTCCACAGCTCATGTCACTATCCTGGCAGTGGGCATCCATGGCCTGGCACAGCTTCTCTGGAGTCAGCGAAGACAACACTTTTCTCATTGCCATTTTAAAGGCCTCATGGTATGGGATGTTATTGAGCAAAGCAATTTCTGTGGTTTCCAATACGCATGTCTGCTCCACAGCATCTGGTTTACTGGTCTGAAGGTTAGCCAGGGCACTGCAGAGTTCAGCCTCATTTCCTAAAGACAGCAAGTCTTTATTCTTGGTAAAACTTTTCCCAACATCCATCTCATGTTCTGAAGTGAAGACACTGATACTCTGTATTCTTAAGTAACAATCCTGACAAGATACTTCCATCATCATATGGTCCCCAGGCTTTATCCAGTAGTCTTAATAAGAAAGAAATAAGAAAATTATAATTGATGAATACGAGTGTTTATCAACCTTATGATCACATAAACACATCTGTCCTCCTATGCCACCAACCCTCCCCCATTTTTTTAAATCACTACAGGGAGGATTATATCTATTAATTTATTAGAATTAAGTGACTCAATCTATTCATTTCCTACCAAAAAGAAAAATCTAGGAAAATCTCTTCAGCTTTACAAAGGAAAAACTGAAGTTGAAGATTCACTTAATTTAGCCTAATACAAAGATTTAAGAGCTACATTATTGGACCCTAACAATATATATATTTTTTATTAATTTTAGAGAGGGAGAGGGAGAAATAGATGGAAACATCGATGAGAGAGTACATCAACTGGCTACTTCCTGCATGCCCCCACTGGGGATTTGGCCCACAACCTGGGCATGTGCCCTGACCGGGAATCAAACCAACGACCTCTTGGTACATGGGTCGACGCTCAACCACTGGCCATACCGGCCAGGCTATTAGCATTTAGTGCTTTTCCTACAATCTTTAGGTATCCTTTCATGTCCCCAAATTGGGGGTGTGGGGGGAGGGCTACGGGAATTCTCAATCTTCTTTGGTAATGAAACCAACAATAACAAAGAGAGATGAAATTTAGGGATTAATACCAAACCTCACTTTAGCTTAAAGGGGCATTATTCTTTCCTCTAACAATAATTTCTTAAAGAACAGAGCAGTATTCAAAAGAACCTTATCAGTAATATCTCTTAACTGATAGTCTTGCATATTCAGACATTTGAAAATATAAGGAAAGACGAAGTCCTACAATAGACTATATCATGCTCTTTTCCATTAGCTTTCACACTTGATAAAACTTTAAAAATGTGTCTAAAAAGACTTTAAAAATGTGAATGTATAATCACAATCCCTTATCAGCACTAAACCCAGTTGAAAATACAAATTGTTATTCTTTTAAACATTTAAAATGTCCTTTCCCTAAGAAGGATTTAAAAAAAAACAACATCTGTCGAATAAGTTACTATAAGAGGCTTAAAACAAATGAACATAACTAGATATAAAATATCACTTAGTAAGTGCCAGTCACTATGGTAGGCATTTTATATCCATTATCTCTAATAATCCCCACAACAGTCCTGCAAGGGAGGCAGCAGCATCCCATTTTTACACACCACATAACAGAAGCACTGAGAAGTAACCAGCAAGGCCAGCCAGGAAGTCAAAGACCTGAATCCAAATCTACCTGACTGCCTCCAAAAACCATGCTAGCCAAAACACTGTGCTGAGTCCATGACTCAATGACTGTGCCAAATTAGATCCTTGATTAGGAGAAATTTGACTGTGCAAATTAGATCCATGATTAGCCACTTTTAAAAAGGCAGATTTTTTTCTCTGCAATAAACTACTGTGAAACATACTGAAACCCAACAAATTGCTGTTAAAAAAATTTCTATACAAAAAATATCTTTAGTACAGAACTTCCCGAGAGAAGGCCATGGATTCATGAACTCTGTAGAACTACAAAATTGTGTACTTATGTGAGTGTGTGCGTTTCTGTGACCTGGAGCTCCAATGATGCCATCCGATTCTGTAGGCAGGGAGATCTCCTGCACTATAAAAGTGATACTTTACCCCTGTAAGTGCACTGGCATTTCTCTTATCTACAGGTAACTAGTAGCTGAAGATATGATTTCTGAGCAGTATGCACCAGAGCTGTGTTTTAGTTTCTCTTTTCAATTACATCTATTATTTAAAGTTGCTTTAAAAAAAAAAAAAAAACTTTCAAAGATGTAATCAGTCTCCCTTGACTAGAAACTTCATATTCAAAGTTATTTTTTTCACAATGACTCAAATGCTTAGAGGATTAAAGCAACAAGTTTAAGAAAATGAACCAAACAAAAGTTAGGTAAGCTAATACCTGCAAGGTCATGTACGGGGTAGACAGCCTGTTCCCAACAAGATTCCTCACTGGGACTTGTGCACAAACTGTGTTCATCATCAAGCTGGAGTACGAACCAAACCACAACAGCATCTAGTATACCTTCTTTTGTAACAGGAACACCAATTTTATCAGGTTTTCTAGTTGCAAGACTTTTTAATTCCTACAAAAATGTAAAAGGGTTTTATACATTTAATATGTACATGCCCAATACCGTATCACTTTCCATTTCTGCAAGTCCTCAGTCCTGCCAGAGCCCTTGGGGGATCAATGCCATGGCACACTCAGAACCACTGAAGGCACATGATGGGAAGCTCTGCTGTATCATAGTGGAATACCATGCAGTTATTAAAAACAAGGAAGCAGGTGCATATTATTGATATAGAAAGAAGTCCATGATGCACAGGGTGGGGTAAAAGTAGGTTTACAGCCCTGGCCGGTTTGGCTCAGCGGTTAGAGCATCAGCCTGTGGTTCACAGAGACCCAGGTTCAGTTCCCACTAAGGGCACGTACCTTGGCTGCAGTTTGTCCCCGGCCCTGGCTGGGTCGTGCGGGTGGCGGCCACTCGATGTGTCCCTCTCACATCGATGTTTCTCTCTCTCTCTCTCTCTCTCTCTCCCTCCTGCTCTATCTGAATAAAAAATGTCCTCAGGTGAGGATAAAAAAAAAAAAAAAAAAGTAGATTTATAGATTTACAGAACTGATAATGTGAAACAGTTTATTCTTGTATTATTACTTATATTCCTTTCCATACAAACAACTGTAAACCTACTTTTGCCTCACCCTGTATTGCTGAAAGAAGGGAGTGAGTGGCAAAGCAATAGGGATTGTTTGGTTTTTTAAAAAGTGTGTGAGTGGCCCTGGCCAGTTTGACTCAGCGGTTAGAGCGTCGGCCCGTGGACCAGACAGGCCTGGGTTCGGTTCCCGCTAGGGGCACGTACCTCAGTTGCAGTTTGTCCCCGGCCCCGGTTGGGGTCATGTAGGTGGCAGCCAGTTGATGTGTGTCTCTCACGTTTCTCTCTCTCTTCCCCTCTCTCCCTCCCGCTCTAAAGATAAATGCATCCTCGGGTGAGGATACAAAAAAAAGTGTGTGTGTGTTTGTGTAGAATAGGAAAGCAAGTCTGAAAAGATGCACTTGATCAAAACTAGTGACCCAGGGAAAGAAGAGCCTAGATTTAAAAAGAAATTTTTTTTCTTTTTCCTTTCTATTCTTCTGTATTACTTGAAAGTATTAAACAAGCAGATATTACTTTCAAAATTAAAGCCTTAAGATGTATTTTTTATTGTGGCAAAGAAAAATTAAAACAAGAAAAGCTTAAACTAAGAAAAAGATCACTTTGGGGTACTCAGCAGCTATAATCATGTTGTTCTCTATTGAAATGTAATATCAGGAAGGAAATGTTCTTGAACTTCAGCCTTAGTAAGCAATGCCAAAATGTTCATTTAGCTCCAGACCACCTCAAGAAAAAGCTAGTAACAAAATAGGGGAAAGCTTTTATAAAATTATAAAAATCTTAGGCCAAAATGACCCTCACAAAGTCTTCTGGCCCCAGGCAGGTTTCATCTGAAAAACATGTATACTTGAACATTTTAACCTTAAAGAGCTTTACAGAAGAATTTTACATAACTCTTCTCAATTCCTTTGGGCACCTTCTTTGTACATCACTTCCTTCCACCATTAAGCAACACACACAGAGATACACTGGGGTGATCAACTTGTCCTGGTTTACACAAGACTGTCCCAGTTTTAAAAGTGAAAGTCCCATATCTCAGGAACCTCTCAGTCCTGGGCAAACCGAGAGGGCTTGTCACCCTAATAATCATACAATCCAGGGTTGTGGATTACTATTCTTTTCAAGGAATTAACTGTTAATTTGCAATTGGCAGCATGACACTAAGACAAGTTAGAAACATTTAGGTTAGAACTCCTGCCCCGGCATTCACATGCTGCATAATTTGGGGGAATTAATGTAAGCAACAGTTTCTTCATCTGGGTAGTATAAGTTATACATGGATAAGTATAACTGCATTGCAACACTGTTGCCAGAGCAACCTAAGAACACACCTGGCACATTACACATTCCCAATATATCGTAAGGATTTTTTTCTCTTTTTATAAAGTGAATAATTTCAGGAGAGAATTCTGGTTACTGTTTAATCCTTTTTTCTTATATACAGTAAGTGGAATCCCAAGCAAACTCATATAGTAAGAAAATAAGACTGTCCTATGTGTTAATTATTTTAAACAACAGGTGAAGTTTAATGCTCAAAAATAGTAACTAAACTTTTTTTTTACCTGAAGATTGTTGAAATCTACTGTCATAATTTCAAAGCTCTCTGTCAAAGCCATGTATCCTCCAGGAACTCGACTCATCTTTTCAGTTGTATATGGTTCAACTGTTTCTTCAGTATCTACAGAAGAATAAGCTGGACTCTGAAATTTCACATTTGTTGGCAAACAGATCCCAGCAATGTCCTTAATGCCCACCCTGGTGAAAAGAAATAAGAGGGGAAGGGGAAAGATGGGGTTCTTTTTTAGAATCAAGTAACACCATCTAATATTGAATCCAGCAAAAATAAACATAAAAATGAAATAAGGCCCTGGCCAGTTTGCTCAGTGGTTAGAGCAGCAGGCCAACGACCGAAGGGTATCGGGTTCAATTCCCAGTCAAGGACGTGGGTTGCAGGTTTGATCCCCAACCCTGGTCGTGATGCTTGCAGGAGGCAACCAATCAATCAATGTGTCTCTCTCTCATCAATGTTTACGTTTCTCTCTCTCTCTAAAAATCAATGAAAAAAATATCTTCAGGTGAGGAGTAACAAAAAAAAAAAAGAGAAAATTTTAGTTTTTTTTAATCCTCACCTGAGGACATTTCTGCATTTTTATCTTGAGATAGAGCAGGAAGGAGATAGGGAGAAAGAGAGAGAGAAATAACGACCTGAGAGACACATCGAGTGGTAGCCACCCACACGACCCCAACCGGGGCCTGGGGACAAACAATACCTTCTCTTACAAATTAATATTCATTAAATAACCTTTGAAGTATAGTCTACTCCTTAAAATTACAATTTTTTAATACTTGCTATTTAAATAATCACATACCTATGATGTCTTCTTATCTCTGCACATTCTACTGCCATGCCAAATATAACAGCACTTGCTGGTATAACTTTCCCATACTTTTCACAATTACCATTTTCACCTTTGGTCTAAAAATATAACAATAAAAGATAGATTCAGTTACATGTATGCAAAAATATGCATGATGATAAGCTATAAACATTAATAAGAAAAAAAGTTAAAAAACAATAGGTAAGGATAAGGTTAAGGGCTTTTTCTTTAAAATGTTTCTTTTATTTTCATTGCTATATGTATGTATTTATACACATATTTTTTTTCTTTTAACAGGAAGGGGAAAAGGGAGGGAAAAAGGGGAGTTATACAGGTATAAGTATGCATAAAGCAAAAAACTATTGGATGTGACTTTAATTGAGAAGCCAAAATCATCATTACATACTTGAAAAATGAACTGCTCTTTTCAACCTTTAATTAGCTATTTTAGCTATTAGCCAAATCACTTTCTTACTGTAAGTAGTCAATTCTTATTACATGTAAAATTGTTTATTCATAATCTGTATTATATAACCAAATTCACAATTTGTGGACCACAGTAAATAATTTTAATGCAAAATATGATTTGGTAATTATGAGTTAATTCTGTCCAATTAGTAGCCTGGGTTCAACTAGTACTTTAAAACTAGTACCATGACAGCTATTACTATACTCTCTTGATAATGTTCCAAAAATCCAAGCAGGTAGGGTATGAGATTAAAAGTACTTCCTTTCTCAACCCTACTCAAGAATTCAATAGTCAGTCCCTCACAATATAATCTCAATTCCTATGAATTCCTTCCTGGAGTATTTTTTGCCTGTATAACCCATTTGGGCACACAAGTATACAATGCATTATGTTATTCATTTTTTTTTTTTTTTTTATGTATTTCTTTCAATAGGGGCTCAATAAATATCTGTTAAAATAATCAATTCTTAATCCAGTTTAAGTATTTTCATGCTGCTTACCTTTGGCTGCAAAAGTAAATGCTCCCATGCATGAATCAAACTCTCCACAATTCCTTCTCCAAATAAACCTGCATCGACAGTTTCTGTTACAACTAGGGACACTCTACAGAATGATTTTTTAAAGATATATGTAAGTAAACTATTATCATGCTTTTATATAAAGATGTCAAAGCTGAGAGAAAAAAGGAAGAGTATATTATAGGAACAGTCTGCAAGTAAAATTTCCTGTTACATTTCATTTTTAATATCTACTCTTGAATCTACAACATGACTCTAGTGTTCCTCAGGCTCCTCTGTATTCCACTGACAACTTCTTGGGTGGGGAACAGGACACAAAGTCTTCATTTAACCCTGCTGCACCCTCAGGGTATTCCTTCATTGCCTAAATCCTTAAGAGTGGTTCATACCCATTAACCTTACCAGTCTCTCTCCTTAATGCTAATTAGACTTCTATCCCCAACTCTATATAAAAATACTAGGCATCATCACTGACTTCCCTACTTATCAAAATGAATAGTGCTTTTCAGTTTTCATTTTCTGTGATCTACAAATAACATTCAATGCCGGTGGGAAGCCCTGCCTCTCAAAATCCTTCTCTAACTTCATTACCCACGTTTACCTCTCACACGTTGAGTGAGCCTCTCTTGTTACTTCTCTTGCTTTACCTACTATCTGTGAGTTTTCACAAAAGTCTAGTCCACAGGGCCCTGCTCTTCTGTTCATCTTTTCTTTCTAGAAAATTTGACTCAAAAACACACCAAAATAATTTCTCCCTTCTCTAAACTTCTGTAGCACATACTGTATTATTCATTTGTGTAGTGAGAAGATATTTTTTTAAGTTTCATGACTATATGACTATTCCTTATTTTCCTATCTTGATTGTAGGTGCCTTGAGAAAAAAAAACAAAAAATACTTCAGTATCCCCCATAATACCTAAACCCAGTATTTTATATATATACAAATTTTCAGTGTTTATGATTGCATACATTTACAAAGTGGAAGGTATTGCAAACATTTAGTTCAACATCTTCAAGTCTCTAGATTTGTTCAAAGTCAAAATAGATTACTAATGGAGTCTATACTGGGATCTTTGTCTCCTGATTCAAACCCAGTAGATTCTTCTATAACACTATCTGTAAAAAATAATTATGAATTTTTTACTACTTTATATTTTTTTAGAGAGAAGAAGGGAGAGAGAGAGAAATCAATCAGTTGCTTCCCACATGCACCTGACCAGGGACGAAACCCGAAACTTGGGTATGTGCTCTGACTGGAATCGAACCTGCCACACTTTGGTGTATGGGACAACACTCCACTCAACTGAGCCACACTCGCCAGGGCAAAAAAATGTAAATTAAATTCAGGTAACTTTGATTCATGCTATGGACTGAACTGCGCACCACCAAAATCTATGTAAGTCCTAACCCTCAGCGTGACTGTATTTGGAGGGTCTTTAGGGGGTAATTAAGGTTAAGTAAGACCATGAAGGTGGATAGAACTGGTGTCCTTATAAGAGTGGAAGAGACAACAGTGACCTCTCCTCACATGCACAGAGAAAGGCTAGTTGGGAATACAGCAGGAAAGCAGCCATCCGCAAGCAGGGAAAAGAACTCTCACTAGAAACCAAATTTGCCAGCACCCTTTGGTCATGGACTTCTAGCCTCCAGAACTGTGAGAAAATTAATGTCTGTTGTTTAAGCTATGTATAGTCTGCAGTACTTTGTTATGATGGCCTGAACAGACTGAAACAATTCAGGACACTGTTTCTATAAACGGGGTAAAACATCTGCTTCAACAATCTAATAGGACTCCTTTCTAATTCATGAGAACAAATGTAGAGACCATGGAAATGCATAAGGACTATGTAAATATAAATATTATCATACATATATGAAAGAAAGAAGGCTTTTTAAAATCATAGTCCAAATAATAAGAGTATAAATATAAGTCCCATTTCAATACAGACTGCATTTAAATAAGATGAGAAGACAGACTACTGCATGGATAAAACTCTCTATCTAAAATAATCACGTGCACCCAGCTGGTGTGGCTGTGGTTGGGCGTCAGCCCGTGAACTAAAAGATCACTGGTTGATTCCTGGTCAGGGCACATGCCTGGGTTGTAGGCTCGATCCCCAGTAGGGGATGTGCAGTAGACAGCCGATCAATGATGTTTCTCATTAATGTTTTTCTCTCTCTCTCCCTTTCCCTTCCTCTCTCTAGAATCATTAAAAACATACATATACATATACATATACATATACATATACATATACATATATATATATATATATATAAAGTTTGCCCTGGCCAGTTTGGCTCAACAGTTAGAGCATCGGCCTGAAGACCAAAAAGTCTCAGGTTCAATTCAGGCCAAGGGCACGTACCTCAGATTCAGTTTGGTCGCCGGCCCTGGTCAGGGTCATGTGGGAGGCAACCAATCGATGTGTCTCTCTCCCCCCCTCCCTCCCACTCTATCTGAAGATAAATGGAAAAACATCCTTGGGTGAGGATTTAAAAAAAAATGTTTAAGCCTCACCAGTGTGGTTCAGTGGATTGAGCATCGTCCCATGGACTGAGCGGTCCTGGTTAGATTCCTGGTCAGGACACATGCCCAGGTTGTGGGCTCGATCCCCAGTAGGGGGTGTGCACGAGGCAGTCAATTGATGTTTCCCTCACATGGATATTTCTCTCTCTCTTCCTCTCTGTCTTAAATAAATAAATTAATTAAGTAAGTAAGTAAGTTTAAAATGACAGTGATGGACCAGATGATTTTTAATTCCTTCTAAGCTCTAAATAAAATTCCATCACCCTTGTGATACAGATCAAAGCAAGATAATATACTAAAAAGCTAAGACTTATGAGATAATATTCAAAGCATTTGAAAGGGTCCAAACAACCAACAGCAGAAACTTCCAAAACTTTCAATTTAGCCAAGCATATTAACATAAAATGTAGTGAGTCAATCAAGGCTGATCTACTCATGTGTTATTGTAAGGTAGATTTTTAAATAGTTATTGACCACATGGGAGGTATTAATCCATTTTCTTTACAACTAGAACGCTAAAATTAACAAAGGTAAAGTAACTTGCTAAAGGTCAAGTTCATTTATTAAGTCCCATGCCACAAAATTTCCTCAAGACATTCAAATCTTTATTATCAGGAATATGACCTTACTATGAAAACACTTATGCAAAACTATCCTGTCACCATAACTTTCCAATATAATATGGGTTTTAGCATTTTTGTTTGGACTAGAAGCCAGAAATGTAAATATATATATTTTTTTAAATAAAAGAGTAGATTATAAATACTAGAATTAGTTCCCATTAAAATACCTTTCAGGGATGTGTTTTGGAATTTCTATGTCAAGCGACTTCATATGTAAGAGCTTGATTCCTTCTTCCATCTTGTTTGCTGCCACCACATCACAGGCCAGTTCGTACATGGTCTGGGATAGCTCGCAGGCATACACCGAGTGCGCTCCGGCTCTTTTAGCAAACATACTACAAGAGGGAAAAGTGCTCCGTCAAGGAAAAATAATCCACCATATTTTTTCAAATATTAATGGAATTGTGATACTTAAACATGGGGTTTTCCTTTTATTCTTTAACACAACCATTATTCATTCCACATTAAAAATCAACTAATATTCCTGTCAAGAAACAAATTACACAATAAATCATGACATCCACTTAATTAAGACACAATAGGCATGAAGAATGCTAATAGATTTAAATAACTAGATTCAACCGGAATATTAATGTAAAAATACTACTGAAATTCATTATTCAAAATTTCAATAATAACCCCCAATTTTTCTTAGTAGATAAGTCCAGTTCTTGATAAAGCAAAAGTTCTAGTGAAAAATACAGTTACAGCCCGGCTAGCGTGGCTCAGCGATTAGAGCCTTGGCCAGAAGACTGAGAGGTCCAAGTTCAATTCCCAGTCAAGGCACATGCCTAGGTTGCAGGCTCAAACCCCAGTAGGGGTCGTGCTGGAGGCAGCCGATCAATGTGTCTCTCTTACATCCATGTTTCTAACTCTCTCTCCCTTCCTCTCACTCGAAAAACTCAATAAAAACATATTTTAAAAAAATACAATAATAGTTGCATGGATAAGCATATCAAGATTATGAGAAATAAATTAAACTCTATTTTTAAATTCCACAAATATTCCATGTTTGGTAAAATCTTTAATTTAGCCCTGGCCAGTTTGGCTCAGTGGTTAGAGCGTCGGCCTGCGGTCCAGAGAGACCCAGGTTCGGTTTCTGCTAAGGGCACGCACCTCGGTTGCAGTTTGTCCCCGGCCCTGGTCCTGGTTGGGTCGTGAGAGTGGCAACCACTTGATGTGTCCCTTTCACGTCGATATTTCTCTCTCTCTCTCCCCCCCCCATCTGCACAAAATATCAAAAAAAAAAAAAAAAATCTTTAATTTATACTAGTATACATGCCTATATGATTAAAACACAAGTACAACAAACCTTAATATTCCAGTTCCTGCTCCAATGTCCAAAACACTTTTGGATCCCAAACAAACTGCCTTTTGGATTGCTGCGTTATAAATTGTATTCCTTTTGGTGTCATTAAGCATGATAAAGTGCCAGCGTTCCACCAACCAATTTGCAACACGGTAAAAATTCTCCTTTGCATCACTGAAATCAGGGTTCAGCTTCACTGCTTTATGAAAATAGCCGGCTGCCTCATCTCTAAAGCCCATCCTAGAGTAAAAAATCAGATAAAATATTCAGCTATATGCGGTCAATTACAGTGCCTTTGTTCACACCTCTCATCTGGCCTGAGAATCCAACACCCCAAATCCTCCTCAACCCAAGTGCTATCTCCTTTGGGAAGTCTTCAGTGAGAACTGCAATCCTTGACCACTTTTTTCTTTCCTGAGCCCCTATTATGCTTATGCATTCCAGGACACGAACAAGTGCTTGACTATAGTTACTATTGTACTATAGTGCAGTAGAAGCTCTCAAAGTCATCCTCCATTTAACCAACCTAATGGACCACCAATACTTTCTAAAAACCATTCTCTGTGAGACGTACCGATGCCCATGGTTAGTAGGCTCCTCTCTGGGCTGCATGCACATCTTTTCTCACAGCCACTGAGTTAAATGGCCATCAAGAGTCAGTTGAATTTACTGCCAGACCAGTTTATACCAGTTGTTCTTGTTACCATAACTACATATGTTGCTTAAATATTACAGAAGTAAAATAAATATGACTGCAAAAACAAAAAGAGCCACTGTTTCCAAGGACACTAAGCTACTGCTTTGGAACAAATCAAAGGCAAGTTACCCAAAAAATTGCTACTGACATTGATGTGATAAAATCAAAAGTAGAAGACCAGGGGAAAAATCTATCAAACCATCCAGAACAGTGCTTCTTAAACTATCTATGATGAAGACAGATAGTCTCGCCCCTTTTGAAGTACCTAATCATTTGTAGACCAGTGCAACTGTGCCACACATGATTAGTACGTAATTCAGATTTCAGCAGCGCCCAAACTAGTCCAAACTCTCTTCAACAAATGAGTTCCTTAATCACATGCTTGGATTTACAGCAATGTCAAAGTGCTATTTAGATTTCTAAAGCATTCCCCTCAATGTCTGTATTTACCTGTCAATGATTGGTAATTTGTGGATCAGCATCAGTGTGTGGTCCACACACTGAAGAGAACTGAGCTAGTAGAACCCTTTTACACTCAGATTTATTCACAAGCACTCTGAAGCATTCTGTCAACTTTAAAGGAACTGAATCAGACTATTCATTCTGAGTACAGTTTAAGCAAAAAAAGGGAACTCCAAACAAGAAACCACACTCTAACAAAAGGTAATGGCCCTATGACATATGACAGGCACTCATGTTATTTTTAAGTACATATCTTGAAGACAGAGCTGTATTTCTTATTCTGAAACTGCCATAGCACACAGTACAATGCAAAATACATCATATGTAATCATTATTTCTTGAGGGACCAACTTAGCAATAGATATTTTAAAATTTCAAAATGTCAAAGATCTGTTGAATTAATGCCAAGCCTGCATTTAATAATTTCCTGGGTCTGCACTTCCAGTAGGTTTAATCCTTAATATGTAACTCAGTTTTCTTAACCCACAGCACTAATCTAAAAAATAGATGATCCACTCAAAGTATATCTCATGTTGAAACACACGTGTGCCAATAATATCAATGAACTATAACAGTGCCTTTTTTCTTTTAACTAGAATAAAACATTATCTTCCTGATTAATGACTTAATATTTTTAAAATCTAATAATTGGCTAACACTAGGCTGTAAAGACAAGACACTCCAGACACCAATTTTATCTCACAAATAAATGTCAGGAAAGAAAGCTATCAATTACTTTGCAATCTTTTTCTCCCGGAACGGTGATTCTTTTGGTGGGGAGTAAGTTATACACTGTTTAAATGGGCAAAGCAGAGTGGAACAAAAGCTAAGAACTACTGTCGTACAGAACAAAGGTAACAAAGGTAAACTGAATAGTATGAGCCACATTCACATCATCGCAGGTTCTGAACTACCAATGTCTAAATTTGAATGTTGCATAGTTACATCTCCCCAAAACAAATTAACACCAAGTTGTGTGTGTGTGTGTGTGTGTGTGTGTGTTTAATCTCAATGACTGGTAATTGCTTAGGCTGATGTCTTACAAAAATAGGTCACAGTTACAATCTACTTAAAGTGTGCAGAGCTCCAATTTTCTGTTAAATTGAGTTCATTCTAAAACATAAGTCTTATAATGTTATGATCATCACAAGTGTATAATATGGAAATATAATTGAATCCTATAACAACTCTACTTATATAAACTAAAGAACTAAAGAAATTTTTTAAATTAAAATGCAGATTTCTAACTAATTTGAAGTTATTCTTAAATCTTTTGAAACTAAATTTCATTTAAATGGAGAGTGGCTGCTAATTCGTAGAGATTGAGTCTGTGTATCAGAATCGGGTTAGCTGTCAGTGAGAACAAACAATCCTCAGTCAACAATCTGTCTCTTTTTCCTAATTATTATCATACTCTACAATTAGAAACTATCATCAAATATTTACCTCTTAAAGGAGTACTCATTTCACTCCCCCAACCATTTCTATTAAGACTGTTACACTGTAGAGCAGTTACATTACTGAGGCTGACTAATAAAGTTTGAGAAAGGTATTTCTTATATACAACTTTTCATAGAAAAAAACTTAACATGACCAGATGAGCAGAGCAATAATACCAGAGAATATTAGAACATGTAAAATGATCGTACTATATAGAATAGGACATTATAATGGTGTTTCTTTCCTAATCATGAATTCTCCCTTTACAATGTACAAAGAAGTGAAATCAGATTTAATACAAATCCAAAACAAAAATTTTTGGTTTTTATCAGTTTTCCTAATTATAAAGTTTCTATGGAGAGTAGACAGAAATTCCAAAGGCAAATTTCAGCAAGGTCCAGAGAACAGATGTACAAGTGCCCCGGCAAGGCACCACAGGACTTCCCTGTCATCCGGGGAACCACGGTTATGTCTTCTTCAACAAGGTCTGGATCTCTGCCGAGTGGGGGGAGCTCTACCTTGATACTCCATCTCAGCCTTAGGGACAGTGGCTAGTATGCATTACATAATATAATATTAAAACGGCTGTTATTACATATTATATCTGCTATTCCTATATTCTTCTTCTGAGTTCTCTTTATAGCTTACTAGCCAATCCCTCATTAATCTGATCCTGTCATAGTTAATAATTTTTATATTAAACTTGCTCTGTTCAAATTACTTTACAATGTATCCCTGATCCAGACTGATACAGAATAATTCTTAACAAGTAATCTGAAATCACTACACACCTGAAGAGATGCTCCCCCATACTATTGCAAATCACTTCATCATCAGGAAACAGTTCCAGGGCTTGCTCATAGCAACCAAGTAAGTCTTGTGTTCTACTGAGAGCATCAAGCTCTTCAGCCCATCTGAAGAGTGTATACTGAAAAGTTTCCTTTACAAAAAAGAAAATGGTAAATTAGTCAATAACAAAAATGAGAAAATAATATACAATACATGAAGATTCCCCAGAGAATAAAACTTAGCTATAATTGAACAATTACCTTACATTTTATTTAGTTTTAAAAGGCACTGTTTGCTAAACAAAGAAATACATAAATGAATAAATTTTACTAGTCTCTTTCCATTCTTAGCTGCCATTTCACATTCTCCACCCACCTCTTTTTTGTGGGCTCCTGTGTTTTTGGGAGTTTGTTCTTGGCCTTCTCTTTTCTCATCCATGCCCAGTGCATTAACTATCACCTATGTGTTGATGGATGCTACATCTATAGCTCCAATCCTGACCCTCTTCTGAACCTCAGACTCATAACTTCCTATTAGTCATCTCAAACTCAGCTCAACTCACATATGTCCTGAACAATCAGTGTGCAAAGAATAGCATGAACAACCTAAGTCCTGTTCCTATCCTCACAGAAGCCTCGTAGGGAGAATTTTAACATAAAATTTTGGGAAAAAAAACCTCAAAATGTTCTAAATGCACCCATCATTTTCCTCTCACACAGGACATAAGGTTAAGGTACCACCTGGCTGCAATCCATGAAGTCACCTTATAATGCTACCATAACTAGTTTCAAACCCAGACTGTGCTCTCTCAATAATTGTACATCTGTGGCCTCCGCTCTATCCCGTGCTACAATGTAACCTGGCCCTTTAACCACTTGCTGTACTACCGCAACAGCCTCCCCACGGTTACTGTTACTCTCACTCCAATCACATCTCACTCCAGACATTCTCTGGATGGGCTGGCTGTGGGTGTAAACATAAGAAGTCAAGGCTGACCCGTAAATACTAAGAGCAGCCACCAGCCACCCAACTTAGCCCCTTTCTCCCCGATTTACGTATTTATTTACTTTCAGGTAGCAGAGGAACAGAGGCCGCCAACAAGGGAGAGAAAGAAGGGGTCTCCTCACCTTCACGTCGTCTTTCAGCTCGGGCGCCAGGCTGAGCACGAGGAGGTAGTGGGCGTAGGCGGTGCCGAAGTCCTGGGCGCGGATGCAGTGCTCCGCGCTCTGCAAGGACCGCGACACCAGCTCGTCCCGCCCGGGCGCCCCGGCGCCACTCCCGGCGCCCCGGCGGGGCCTGCGCCGCGAGTTCGACATGCCAGCCACCGCCTGACGCCACCGCTTGTACAAACAAAGGGAAGGTGCTTTGGTACACGGCACGAGAAAACAGTCTCGACGGCTACACGTCCATGGGACTAACTAGAGCGCGAGAACCTATAGAAAATAGCTTCCCCTCCACCACAGAGAAGCGCGCCCACCTGCGCCCGGAGGAAGCCCCGCCCCCTCCCTGACTGGCGGGCTCCGCAGACCGCGACGCACGGCCCCCCGACTACAGACACCGGCCGGCGGCGCACGCTACGCGAGCGTCAGCGCGCCCGACGTGTGCACGTCGCGGCCCGCCCCTCTCGTAGGCGGGAAGGCGCGGTGCGGCCACTGCGCGTGCGTGTGGGAAACTGTGAGGTTCTGTCCTGTCTCGCTGCGTTTTATCCCGCTGGCTGAAACTAGAGATTTTTATCCCCCTCCCCCGCCCTTTAGGCCTGTGTGGTTTCAGCGGCAAGACCTCACTCTGCACCAGCTGCACCCGTCCGTGAGGGATGTGCGTGGGTATGAGGAAAGGCCGTCAGGCGTTTGGGGTGATGTTGCGGCCTTTGGATCGTGATGCCCCAAATCTCAGAATGGCAAGGCTGGAAAGAACCTCGGAGAGGACAAACACCTTGCATGTGGTAGAGGAAATGCTTTCACTGGCATCATTTTTGTCCTCTTGACAAAACCCTGGAAGGCTGGCCTTTGGGTCATGTTTATCTTAAAGACAGAAGGAGGCACCCTGAGAAGAGCTCGCCCAGCATCACACAAGCAGTCGGTGGCCTTGACGTGGCTCAGACCCAGTCCCCTGACTGCCCGCCCAGTTGTTTTCAAACGAGCTTCGGGTTTACTGCACTGTTCAGCGTATCACCACTGTGTAGTGGTTGGATCAATACATAGAAAAAGTGTTTCTGCCTTCAAGTGTGGCCCCTAAGAGGAAGGTTTTAAACATTCATGAGACATAGGAATCACAGCTAAAACAATTCAGTTTTGTACCTGGTTTCGAACATGTTAATGGTGAATATTTAAGAAGCAAAAAATAGAGTATTTTGTATATCAAACTAAAATTTGGGGGAGTTCTTTCATTTCTCAAAAGTTCATTTGCATGCCTTTTTGGCTTCTCTTTTTTTTTTCTTTTTTTTTGGTGGTATGTGCCCCTAACGGGAACTGAACCCAGGACTCTCTGGTCCGCAGGCCGATGCTCAAGCGCTGAGCCAAACTAGCCAGGGCTGCCTTTTCTTTTCCTTTTCTTTTTTTTTTTTTTTTTACTTTTTTAAATTTTTTCAGATAGAGTGGGAGGGAGAGAGGAAGAGAGAGAGAGAGAGAAACATTGACGTGAAAGGGACACATCAAGTGGTTGCCACCCACACAGCCAAGCAGGGCTGGGACAAACTGCAACCGAGGTACATGCCCTTAGCAGGAACCGAACCCGGGTCTCTCTGGACTGCGGGCTAATGCTCTAACCGCTGAGCCAAACTGGCCAGGGCGAGCTGGCTTTTCTTTTTATCCGATTCTCTGAATCACCTTCCTCTGACCACCTACCTATGTATATCCTAGTTAGTTCTTCAGACACCAGATCACTAGACTGTGAACTGCTCCCCTGGTCAGAAAGGTCCTCAAAGGCAGGATCTAGTCTTAACCATTTTTTTTTACTTTGCTCTAGCAGAGTCTGGATCAAAGTAAGGACTCAGATTTTTTTTTTTTTTTTTTTTAATTTTAATACAAAGTGTACCCCTCACTCCCAGATTTTGCATGTAGACTTTCCCAACCACTTAAGGTCCTTATTTCTCTCCCATCCTCAATTGCTACTTTCTACTAAACAATTTAAGATTTAACTTTGGTATATCCCTAACACAACTGAAACACTGAGGCCTCTCTAGTCCCAATAGTATGTAGTAGGACATGAAAAGGCCACTGGACTTAAAAAAAAAAAAAAAAAAAAGAGTGTTCTAATCCATGCTTGGTCTTTTTTTGGCCTATTCAATAAACTTTCCTAAAGAGTCATGTGTAAAAAGGCTAACAAAGTTACCTTTCCTTCCTTGGACATGAGATTGCTATAACCATTAAATGAGATAATATAAAAGCATTTTATACATAAAATATACATAATATATTTACTGCTATGTATTGATACTATTAACTAGACTCATTAAAAATTTACCTGGATTATTAAAAGTTAGGTCACTAACACCTGTAAGCATTTGATCAGAAGTGTATGCAACTTATATCCTGTAAATGTCTAAAGTAATTGACTGGAATCTCCCTTCAGAAAGCATAAGGAGACCTCCCAATCTTGCCAGAGATTTGGGTTTGGTGGGGAAGCATTTAGACTTCATCATTTCTAGTTACCTTTGTGATGCCTGCTTCAGCTGAATTACTTCACCTCACAGATTATTTTATACTCCGGAGCATCCCACAGGGGCAAGATTTCTTTTATCTTGTTTTGCTTTGTTTCTTTTGTTTTTTTGTCTTGTTTTTGTCTATTTGGTTTGTTGAGATAAGCCAAATACCTAAAACACCTAGACTGCATGAAGCTTGAAGTGTAGATATTATTAGCAAGTCTGTAGGCTAAAATGGAGGAATAAGTTGGCAAGAAGTGCAGAGAGGACAGAGAAGAAATGAAAGAAGTCAACTTCAATTGTTTCATCATCACCTACAGTATTAACCTGTGGGCAGTGCCTACTGCTAAAAAAAGTGCAAGGGATGCTATCTACCTCTTGTGAAATACTTCAGGTAACTGTGAGCTGTTCGGTGTCACTAGTTAAAATGTGATTAATCCAGATAACGAAATCACAGGTGTTTTGCATTTCTCTGTAGTTTACAACTTAGATACACTTGGATCTAACACAAATAATGTGGAACATCTGGTCAGTTTAAGAAATTGGATTAGAGCCCTGGCTGGTTTGGCTCAGCGGTTAGAGCGTTGGCCTGGGGTCCAGAGAGACCCGGGTTCAGTTCCCGCTATGGGCATGTACCTCGGTTGCAGTGTGTCCCTGGCCCTGGTCTGTCGTGTGGGTGGCAGCCACTCGATGTGTCCCTTTCACGTCGATGTTTCTCTCTCTTCCTTCCACTCTACCTGAACAAAAAATGGAAAAATGTCCTCGGGTGAGGATAAAAAAAAAAAAAAAGAAGAAATTGGATTAGAAAATAGATTTTAACTATTTTCCTTTATTACTTCATTCCTAATTGAGACTTAGAATTACTCAAGATTGTATTTATTTATTTATTATTTATTTTTTATCCTCACCTGAGGACTTTGTTTTTTGTTCAGATAGAGTGGGAGGGAGAGAGAGGAAAAGAGACAGAGTGAGAAACATGAACATGAAGGGGACACATCGAGTGGCTGCCATCCGCACAACCCAACCAGGCCCGGGGACAAATTACAACCGAGCTACATGCCCTTAGTGGGAACTGAACCCGGGTCTCTCTGGACCGCAGGCCAACGCTCTAACCACTGAGCACCAGCCAGGGCTCAAGATTTTATTTATTGAAGGTTAACTGTATTTATTGTATGATCTTTCATTTGTTTTGAAAGACCCCTATAGCCCTGGCCAGGTAGCTCAGTTGGTTACAACAAATTGATGTCTCTCTCTCTCCCCACTGCCTCTCCTCTGGCTCTCTAAAGTCAAAAAATAAAATAAAATAAAATAAAATAAATCAGCCCTATCTTCCATGACAAAGAAACCTGAAGTCTGATACAAAACAGATGCAGAATATAGATTTTATTTCTTGATCCTTAGTCAAAGGTTTCTTTAAAAATATTGAAGGTATCACTCCTTTGTTCACAATAGCCTCCCCCCACCTATAACCCAAACTGATATTTACCTTTGAGAGCATATTTGATTCCTTTATTTATATATTCTTTTTCATCCTCTTTAGGGTCCTAAGGAAAACCTCACTGATGTAGAAAACCACTGCTGACTTGAGGCAGGTTTAATTGTGGTTGTCTTTCACCATGTTCTAGGCAGCTGGTCAACAAACCGCACACGCCAAACAAGGAAGCAAAACCAACTGAAGGGCTCTCAGTCAACTTTCCAATGTGCTAAAGCTGAAGGTTAACAGGGGAAAAAAACTCACAGGAATTCATTAACAAGGGATAGACAGCTTACTGGACATAAGGTATCTTATGTTTATATCTTCTGCGGAGATTAATATTTTTTGTGTGTGATCCTGTTTGTTTTATCTTGTGTTTTGGAGCCTTGTTCTCAGCTATGCATTTTAGAATAATTTGGAGAGCTTTTAAATATTAATGCCTGGGCCTCATACCCAAAGATACTTATTTAATTGGCCTGGGGGAGGGGGTCTGGACCACCCAGTATTTCCCTGGGTGAGTCTAAAGTGCATGCTAGGGATATAGGGTCTAGTTCAGGCTTCAGTAAGGGTTGTTAGAATATTTGAAGTATTTAAAGTATGTAGCATAAGGCATAAAGACAATGTAGGGAGTTGAAATATTTGTTTATGGTTTAACAAGAATTGTGAAGATTCTCAAATTATTTTGAGTTGCAGTGATTGTTATCTGAAAAAGAATAGCATTATATTATATTGAATTGCTTGTTGGAGAAAAACACTTATAATCGGATCAGCAAAATACTATAGCCATGGTCCAACTGCTTTAGCATTGAAATTTGCATTAGTGCATTTACATTGCTAAATATTCTCAGTTTCTTCAAAATTTTTTACTTTACTACAGTTAGGATTTTTGTTGTTTTATAATCCTAGACCTTTTCTAATTGTTCCACGTACATTTCAAAATCTAGAACTCAAAGTTAAATATAAAACTAATAGTGGCCAGGCCAATGCTGAGTTCAGAATCCGAGTGTACAAAGGCCTATGATAATGTGATGACAGAATTCAGAGTCAACGTGAGAGAAAATCCATTTATTGTTACTCTACAGCAAGCACCATGCTTGGTTCTGGAGAACCTGCCTCAATCTTCTGCTGGAAATGCCAATCAAAGTATTGGTGCCGGGGATAGAATCCAGGTAATCAGAACAGAACACGTCCTAACAAAGCATTCAGGAATATGCTGAAATCCAATAGGGAGCAAAGAATCTAAATCTGAGAGTCACCTCAACTGTTTGTACTCTCTCCCCATTCTCCATCAATTACTCCTAGTCAGGGTCCCTGCAGGAAAAAGACCCAAAGGGCTGAATTCAAGAGAGTTTAACTAAAGGACTATTTACACAGGTGACCACAGTTAAGGGATTCAGTGAGTCTTGTGAGGTGCCCTGAGACTAGCAAAAGGAGAGGACTGTATTACCTGAAACCAGAAAGAATTGTAACTATGAAGAGGAGCCACCCAAATGCTGTGGCCATAAGTAGAGGAGATAATTCTGTGACCTTTTTCTCCCTGCCTGCTACTGATGCCTCCTATTAGCAAAACCCAATGCAAAGACTGTATAGATGTCTCTAGAGTCAGCCACCCTCCAGGGCACAGAGCAGGGCAAAGACAGGTAGAAATGGTTTTGCAGTACAAATGGAGAATAACTAACATGATTACCAAGTTTTGCCTCTTTTACTTTGTAATTTTTAAAAATCTGTCCTCTTGCCTGGCCATTGTGGCTCAGTGGATTGAGCACTGTCCTATGGACTGAGAAGTCCCAGTTCCATTTCCGGTCAGGGCACATGCCCTGGTAGTGGACTCGATCCTCAGTAGGGGGCATGCAGGAGGCAGCTGATCGATGTTTCCATCTCTCTCTCTCAAAACTTAAAAATATATTTAAAAAATAATAATAAAATAAAATCTGTCCTCTCCTCTCAATGCTCATTGCTACTACTTGTGTTCATGTTCTCTTAATCTTTTAATTTATGTTACACTGGCCTTTTCATTATACAGCCTCCCTTTATGCATCTCTTAAATTCATCTTTCATCTTCCATGCTGTAGCTACAATGATCTAAAATGCAAATTTTCCATTCTGTGGCTCCCCAACACCTACAGTTTGTATTACAAACTTTTCCTTAATTACTTATATGGAGAATTTCTAAAATCTTAATTAAAGATGTTTGTATTTCCTTAGAAAAGGGGAAGCAAAAGTCATATTGAATGTGTAGGTTTATACACTGAGGTTGTTTGGTTTAGAATGTACTATTTGAGAAAATGAATTAAAGATCATTTGGGGTTTCTTAGTGGCTAAAAGTCCCAAGAATGTTTAGCTATAGTGTCCTCCCTAAGCAAAATAAAGTATTTGAGCCAATTAGAATTGACCCTTAGAAATAAATGAATTGATAAGGACACAGCCTCATCTTCTTTTGTAGCGCCCTTGGAGAAACTGAACCACCAAGGTATAGGCTTTCTTTTTGAATGGTGGAGATGAGAAAAAAATGACTTTAAAAGGACTAAGCCCTGATCACAGGCTAGGCTTGTTGGAATTGGCCTTTTACACCCTTTGCACTAAAGGATTCTGCTTAAGACCCACTTAAGGAGACACTAAAGCTCAGAGATTCTGAGATCAAATGCCGGAGCCAGGCTGTCTGGGTTTGCAGCCTAGCCACTTACCACCTAGGTATCTTGAACAAGTTAAGTTACTTAATTTCTGTACTTGAATTTCTTCATCCATAAAATGAGGATCACACAGCACCTATCTAAGTTTTATTGTAAGGATTAAATGGATTAATGCACTTGCAAAGCCTGGAACATATTGAGCTCTCAATAAGTATTACTTATTATTATTCCCGCTTTAGTGGTTCTCAGAAGAGCCAGGCTTCCACCCAAAAGGAGCCACCATCTTCTGCCAGTCACATAAGTCTTACACAATGCTTGGAAACAAGAAGTCCTTCCTTCTCTGCCTCCTGACATCTAATAAATAAACTGTTCCCCCCCACCCCCAAGGAAACTGACATCTGCCATGAGAACTGAGCAATTTGTGCTTACTTTGGTTTTCTCCCACAGTTGAATTAAAGAAAGAGCAAATAAATAGTGTTTTTCTTGAAGAAACAGATATTAAAAGATAGATCTTAAGTTGTGGCAACAAGCCCTCGGAAGGTTTTTTAACTTGATGGAAAGCAGGTGATCACAGTAGATTCCTATGACCTAGGTTTTGTGCACAGTGCTGATTGGATGTGAACCAAATCATAAAAAGACATGCAGAAATAGTAACTGAATGTCTCATGTTGTGATTTGTCTTCAGAGCAAAGTTAGCTTAAACTCTTCAGTCCTTATGCTTTCCAAGACAAAGATACCTTCTTTAACCTCTTTATTTGTATGATTTTGATAAGCACTCAACACCTTTAGGTAAGGGGAGTATTATGCAAATAATGGGATGAAAGTTAGCTGAGCTGCTCCTGTCAAAGTAGGTGTCAGGAACAAAGCCATGAAGGGCCGCTGGCCTTCTGTTCCCCTCCCCCACTCCACGAACTCTGAGGACCTTTGATGAGTCTGTTTTGAACCTACTGTCCTATAAGATTAAATCTTAGCTCCTAATTAAGTCCCAGCTACCTGATTTGGCTTCCACTTAACCTCTCTATCCTCCGTCTTCAACATTTTCTACTTCATACCTTCATGCACACCTTTGCTAAAGCAGTTCTTTCTCCCTGTATTTTCCATCTTTGTTTGCTCTGCTCACTCTTTATCATCCTTACTCAGTTCAAGACTCTCCTTCCAGAAAAGCTTCTCTGAATTGCTAGTTTAGGCAAAACACTCTTGAAATCAGATTTTTCCCATCCATAACTCCATTTTAGCATTTACCCTACTGTGTAAATGAAATGATCTGTGTGTCTTCTTGACTGGAAAGTGAGTTCTTGGGCCTCAGGAAGTATCCCTCGTTTGTTCTTTATCTCCAGCATTCAGAATAGCAAGTAGAATAAAAGAAGACATAGCCCTGGCAGGGTAGCTCAGTTGGTTAGAGCATCGCCCCAATACGTCAAGGTTGCAGGTTTGATCCCTGGTCATGGCATATATAAGAATCAACCAATGAATGCATAAATAAGTAGAACAACAAATTTCTCTCTCTCTCTCAATCAATAAAAGAAGTCATTAAATGTCTGATTAACTGATTACTAGTATAATCATACAGGTAGAGCTATACAACTGTCCTTCTGATAAAGAAAACTAAAGAAAGGTTAAAGATTTGTTTGATAACACATTATGTCCACTTCTTCCTGAAAACAAAAATATCGTAAAACAGAAAAATAACACCTCACAATAACATTTTTAATAAAAGCTGAAAGGAAATCAAATTATACATATTTGCATTTATTTGAAAATATTAACATTCAACAGGATTAAATACTGTCAACAGAAAGTTGTCCCTAAGGGCCATATTTATTAAGTATTGCTATTTATAATAGCAGTAATTGAGGAGGGCCTGATTCCAAGAGAAGGGCCCTGGAGCTGTGCTGTATGGTAACATGGATCGGTCAGAGGGTGGAAAAGCCCCAACAGAGAAGAATGTCTGGCATATTTCAGCAGAGAGCTGTTGGCTTTTTGTATGGAACTGTCCTACACATTGCATAATATATACCAACCCTCATCTCCACCCACCAAATGCCAATAAATCCCTGTCATTGTGACCACTGAAAATGTCTTGCACATTTCCAAATGCCCACTAGGGGTCTTGTCTCACCTCAGTGACCATATATCACATAGTACTTAGTAATAAACACACTTCCTGATGACTGGTAGAATACAGTTTGGAGAAAATAATTAATGTTTCTCTTCTTCACAGGCTTTTTAGTTTTCCTCCTCACCACTGGTCTTTCCCCGTCACTCACTGAATCAGTGGAATTCATTGCTCCAGCATGAGGCTGAACATAGCCAAGAACAAAGAAGACTCTAAAGTTTCTGAGTGGAATTTTAAAATTAAAGCTGAAAAAGTAGGTTTTTTATTATAAGGGCAGATTTCTTGAAAGGGGAAACATGATTTTTGTGTTTGTTTGTTTGTTTGTTTTTTGAGTTATAAATGAGTAAGAGCTTAGAGGACTCAGGGCCGAGCATTTATGTATGCTGTGAACTAAAGAGTTGGAAGGTATGAAATAATCTGCTAGAAGGAAACAAAAGGAAGAGAACCTGAAGACATGTTACCAGAATTCAGATGCTGGCCAGTGCCTAAGAAGGCACTGTACCCTCTGTCCACTCTCCTCTGTCAGTTGAGAGGACAAGATGTTCCCTGGGGCAAGACAGGAAGGACTTCAGAGCCCAGAGGGTCTACCCCTGGCTTCCAGCAGGCCTCAGTAAGGCCCCTGCTCACCACACAGCTGCTGCAGAGTGACAGACATCCCCATCCCCACCCGCCTGCCAGGATACTGAGCATCCAACAGTTTCAGAGCCCCCCCCCCCCCAAAGCCTCGAGAAACACAGAAGTGGTTGAGTGGGACGACAGACGGGAGGGGCCTTGTGATCAGGGTGACGCTAGCAGAGAGAGGTGCAGACCTGGGGCAGCAAGGGAAAGGAGCTGAAGCCAGGCTCGGAGGAATTGCCCATCTCAGCAGATCCTGGGCCTGTTGCCTCAGAAGTCAGTACAACATGTAAATCCCCAGAAAAGGGAAGGAAAAGAGAGAGGGGCAAAACTCTGGATTGACTGAGGTTAAATCTGTACATTGACTGAAGTTAAATCTGTGCACACTTCACAATGTGTATGTGGAAGGTCAAGTTTTAAGCTTCTACATGGAAGTGCAGTAATAAGGATATAAAAAGCCCAGAAAATTCCCCCTAAATGAGTTAATGAATATTTACCCCCTCTTTAGGGAAGCCCTTTAACTTTGTGGGAGGAATCTAGGCGCCAAATGTCAGCTATTCAGTTGGTTCAGAGTTAATTATTTGTGTGGCTCTGATGGCTATGTGTTGACAAACAAGGGCTCCTTTTACTTATCTGTGATTGTAGCTCCCAATTACAGAGAGGCTGAAGACCTGTTGTCAATGGATGAGATACTTCAGTTGGAATCTGTCCATTTTTTAATCAATGATATAGTTACTCTCTATTTTATGTAAAGTGTAGCATTAAAAAATTAACTGTCACTAAAAAAACAAGTGCTTAGACCTTAGGTTAACTTACTTTAAAAATCCTTCAAACATTACAATTCCTAAATTGAGAACCATAGTGAAAAATCAGAAAAAGAAATTTCACCTTAAATTTGACTAAGTATCTAGGAGCAAATGATGTTCTCTTTGTTCACACTTCTGCACAGGTTTTTAACTTAGGTGTCATTTAATATTCAGATTTTAAGTCTGATAGACATACCTGGTGTATTCCTATCTTATTGCACACACTCACCCCATGGAAGGCTCGAGTTAGTTGATTTTCTTGTTCTGATACTGGTAAGAAGCTCACGTTGTACATCAGTAATTTCTTCTACCTTTCTCTCTCTACAGAATGCAAGGAATTTTAGTTTGTTTCCAAAATGCCAAAATAGTCTGAATAAAAAACAAAATCTTAAGCTCTCATAAGCACATAATAAGATGTTCCCATCTTTCATGGGGACGGGTTGTTGGTAAATTCTGTTTTATGTTCCAAAGGATCACAGGGCAGTATTCTAAAACACCTCTAGTTTTGCAGGAAAGTCCTGTAAAATTGCATCTCATATTAAATATGTGGGTTTTTAAAGGCAGCCTCCTTGTTTTATGTTGAAACCAAGTGATAAGACAATGTGCTGAAGTCAGTCTGTTTTATTACATACCTGACACCTTTTCTGGTTGAATTTTATTACTTGATTATGTGCATTTAGCTTTTAGGTCATTTCTGAGAGCCTCATAGTTCATTCTGCTGCTAAGGAGCTTTGCATTCTGCTTTTTATTTGTTTCTTTGTTTTACTTTTCAGTGAAAATGAGTTGGTAGCTTGAATGATATCTATGTTCTAGATATGTAAAGAATAGAGAGAGAGGACTCCTTGAACTTCTTCATTGTATTAATGTGTTCTGTAGGTAAAGACTGCTGGGGCCCAAATAGAACAAAGACCGTTGTGAATGCAGAATTTCTTTTCTCTTTCTGATCACTTCATTCTACAAGTAACAAACAAAGGAAACATAAAGTTCTAAGAACTAACTATTAAACTCACCATTGAAAAACCAAGAGAAACCTGAGCTGAAAACTGGATATTAGACCTTGAGTGTGCCAAGCAACTTATTTCTTGCACTTGTAACTACTCTTTCAAATAGGTTAAAAACTGATAAGAAGCTCTTGGGAAACTGTTATCAGCCATTGCAAAAATAGCTTAACCCATCCTAATCTGGCCAAGACTTAAAAGGCCGAAATTCCTAAAAGCATTAGGGGATTTTTTTTTTTTTTTCTTTTCTATTTGCTAAGCATGCTGTATATGAACTGTTTTTATTACATCATTTTTCTGTTCATGTAATGTACTCTGAGTACATTTGCAGCCTACAAAAGAGATGGTTGCTTAAGCTGACACTGTGGAACATTGCAGGAAGTGTTGATTAGAATTTGCACATTTGTGTTTCCTCAAAAAATTAAAAATTGAACTGCCATTTGACCTAGTGATCCCACTTATAGGAATATATCCTAAGAAGCCTGAAACACCAATCAGAAAGAATATATGTACCCTCATGTTCATAGCAGCACTGTTCATAATTGCTAAGATCTGGAAACAACCCAGGTGTCCATCAGTAGATGAGTGGATAAAAAAGCTGTGGTACATATACACAATGGAGTACTATGGAGCTGTAAGAAAAAAAGATCTCTTATCCTTAGAGACGGCATGGAGGGACATGGAGAGTATTATGTTAAGTGAAATAAGCCAGTCAGAGAAAGACAAATACCACATGATCTCACTTATTTGTGAAATATAATGAACAAAATAGATCCAGAGACAGAAGTAGGGTTCAGACTGACAAAGTTCAGAGGAGGGGTGAGGGGGAGGGAAGAGATAAGCCGAAGAACTTGTGCATACAAGCATAACCAATGGACAGAGACAACAGTGCAGGGGGACAGGGCAGGTGGGACTGGGAGGAGGGTGTCAATGGGGAAAAAAGAAGAAACATCTATAACAAAATTAAATCTAAAAAAAGAAAAAATTTGCACATTTGCTCGGAGGGTGTGAATTCCAAGCAGGTTTACGAAGGAAACGGCGGCGCTTCCGCCTGGCCCCTGTGTGTGCTTCCTGTGTGAGGACTGCTGTCAGGATTTTGGTGTGTATCCTTTCCATCTTTTCCTCTCTTCATGTACATTTTTTAATTTGAAAAGTTAATCTCATAGCATACGTACTATTTTCATAATTTTTTTCATTAACAGTGCATTATTAATTTTTAAAATATGTTTAATCATGTCAGATAATCCATCATCTAGCCATAACATAATTTATTAAACTAGTGTTCTGTTGTTAGACACTTAGGCCATTTCCAGTTTTTATCTATTGTAAATATTGTTGTGACTAGCATTCTTGAACTTAAATCTTTGGGCACATCTTAATTATTTCCTATAAGTAAATTCCCAAAAGTAACATTATTGGGTCAAAAGGCAAATATTTTTAAATGATCACATGTAATTTGCCACCCTAAAATAACCATTGGCAACAATTTGATGCCTATTATTAGTCTTTTTAAAAAATTAATATGTATGTGCATAATTAATTTATGTTAAATTTATATGGGGAATTATTGAAGGAGTTTTAACAGAGGAATGATATGATCTGATTTTCATTTTGTTTTTCTTTTTCTTTTTTATTGATTTTAGAGAGAGAGGAAAGGAGATGGAGAGAGATAGAGACATCAATGAGAGAGAACATCGATTGGCCGCCTCCTGCATGCCCCCCACTGGGGATCGGGCCTACAACCGGCATGTGCCCTGACTCGGAATCAATCCGGCGACCTTTTGGTGCATGGGTCGATGGTCAACCACTGAGCCACACTGGCCGGGCGATCTGATTTTTATTTTAGAAGGACCACTGTGGCTGCCCTGTTGAAAATGAGATCATTGAGGAGCCAGGGGAGACGCAGGGGTGTAGTTGGGAGTCACTGCAGTTCTCCAGGAGAGAGATAGAGTGGCTTACAGCAGAGGGCAGCAGTGGAGGCAGTGAGTGATGGTCAGATGCTGGATATATTTTTACAGGAAGACTGACTAAAGGTGGAGTGTGAGGGAAAGGAAAGAATGCAGATTAACTCCAAGTTTCAGAGACCTGAGCAGTTGGAAGGATGGTATTGACATCAAGTGACAGGGGAAAGGCTATAGGTGGAGCAGGTCTGGGAGAGGGAAGAACCAGGAGTTTAATTTGGAGAAAGTGAGTGTGAGATGTTTATTAGATGTCCAACTGGAGATGTCCAGTAGGCTGTTGAATATGAGTCTGGAGTACTGGAAAGAGAAGACCTTGGAAATATAAATTTGAGAATCATTGTCATATAGGTCATATGTAAAGCCAGAAGACGAGGTACGATTACCAAGGGAGTTGGTACCAAGAGAAGAGGGAGCAAACCATGGGGAAGGAGATCATTCCAACATGAAGAGCACTTACTATACACCAGGCACTGTTCTATGTGCTCTCCATAGATTATATAGGTTGACTCATTTAATCTCCATATCAGCTCCATGAAGGGATACTGTTATTATCCCCATTTTACAAAGGAGGAATCTGAGGCACAGATACGGTCACTAAATCAATAACTATTCCATGATACGAATTGACGAAGTGAGTTTTAACTCCCTTTTTGAATAATGCCAACTGGTTTTGAAATAAACCATGTAAACTTTTTCTGTACAAGTTTATCCATTATGCCCCCCAAATCTTAGTAGTTATACATTCCAGTTACACTTTAAAGACTCGGCATGAGTCATCTGTTCAAAGGTGCTTTTCTTTCCAGCTCACAGCACATTCCAGGACAGAATACTGAGAAGAGACAAAAAAAAAAAAAAGCTTATGTTCAAATAAGAGAAAGGTAGAGCCATTTTTCGTGTTCAATATTTCTTAAAGGCATTGTCTTTATTTGCTTTTACCTGTCTCCTCCTCAAGAACCATGCACTCTGTGGATGAAAAGAGATGGACAGAGGTGGAACTGGATGCAGATTCCTGAGCAGGCCTGCAGTGAAGTAGTGGCCATGACCTAAGGCAGGAGCTTGGAGGAGACGATGGGGTGGGCTCCAGCCAAGGAGAGCATTTGATAGCTAAAACTCTTCCACTCGGCTTGAAATGCAGACAGGGCATCTTCAGTGTGATGTGGGTGGGAGGTAGAACATACCCTTTTTGTTTGTTGTCAGCTTTCTTGAGTTATATCTGATCTGATGTACAGTAAACTGTATATATAGGGTGTCTCCAAAAAATATATACACAAAAATGTATAAATATAAAGCCAGTGTTTATTAAAATATGTTTTATTTTCAAAATGTAATAGGATCTACAGATACCCTGTATACATTGTTTTGGGACACCCTGTATTTGGAAAAAAAAAAAAAAAAAGAACCATGTATTCTCTAGTTATAATTAAGAGTAGGAAGGGCAAGTTCATAAAGGGAAATTATCATTACTCCTGCCACCTTACCATATAATGTATTCAAAATATCTCAAAGGGACAGATTCTAAGACTACACCTTGCCCTTAACAGAAATAAACATAAGGCAGGGAAAATCAGAAACACCATGGTGTGGGTTAATCATTACAGAAGGCTTCCAGAAAAAAAATATTTTAAATTGTACCCTCAGTACCCTGGAGATTGTTGCATCTTGGGACAAAGATCCGGGTGAATGAACTTACTGTATGCTTTTGTACTTTCTCTTCCTTGGGAAAAAGGTTATTGTGAAAGGGGAGGTGGGTAGGAGAACTTGCAAAATGTTTTTTTTCAGACAGATCCCTTTTAAGAAAAAAGACAAATGGAAGTTGAGGATCTGGAAATAAAATTTTCCCTGCCCACAGTGTTCCTTGGAAAGTCTTCACATACTTTTGAGGGTTCCTCTAACTCGAGTTGTAGGCTATTGTATTAAATAATTTCAATAGGGAGGAAAGAGAGAGAGAGAGAGATCTTAAAAACCAAGAGTGACTGCAGAGGCATTTCTCTGCTGAGCCCAAAATATCAGACCATGGATACGTGCATGCATTTACTTCCATTCCAGAGAGCAGCGTGACCCCTGAGTAACAATATGGGAAAAGCAGAATCCAGAATGAGCTTAGGGATGTGAAAAGCAGTATGAAACCAAAAAGGATCCTTTTAAGGATATGTTCATAGCAAGAGCAAGAACATGAAGACTCTGGGGAAAGATGATGTAATATTAAAAAGATAACAGAGAAAGCAGAACTATCCAAATTCTCTTTTTCTCCATTATTCTTTCAATAACTACCTTAAAATGGAAAGGGTAAAAGACTAAAGGTTAAAGACTAAATGCAAAGAAGATAAGAAATAATTTAGTTAATTTAATGAGTTTATTTTTATGCCCAGATAAATTGTAATCTGAGATATTTAGAGCTTATAATATTAACCATGCAGTGATAGTTAATCTTAGAAAATAATTTTATGAACAGAAAGCATAAATTAAGTATCAATGTTATCACATCAACCTTATATCTAGGAACGTATTACTCAACTTAAGACCTAGGCTTTGTATCTTTTTTTTATTTACCATTACAGTTGGCCCTTTGAATAACATGAGTTTGAACTGTGCAGATTTTTGTAATACCTGTACTGTTTTCAATCTGTAGTTGGAGTTTGCGGATGTGCAGGACCACTGTATGCACTGACCTGCAATGTTTTATAAAGGGTACATGAGCATCCTCAGATTTTGGCATCCACAGGGGCTGGGGGGGGGGGGTGTTGTCCTGGAGTCAATTCCCCTCAGATATCAGTAGGACAACTGTAATACTTAAGTTTTGGGGGAGTCAAAAGTTATTCAGGGATTTTTGACTGCACGGAATGTCAGTGCCCCTCCCTCCTCCTCCACCCCATGTTGTTGAAGAGTCAACTGTATATTAGAGCTGTTCTCCAATATTTCTCACTAAATATTATGTATAATAATTTTAAATAGCTACATAGTGCTCAATTAAATAAATATACCCTAAATTTCTTAATTCACCAGGGTCCTGTTTACACTGTTTTACGTTTTTAGCTTTTAGAGACCATACTGGAACCCTGGCCAGTGTGGCTTAGTTGGTTGAACATCGTCCTGTGCACCAAGAAGTCACCAGTTCGATTCCTGGTAAGGGCACCAAAAAAGAAAAAAAAAATCGTGTAGGAATATGATCATTTTACATAAAACTTTGTAAATTCTTTTTTAAATTTTAGGTTAGATTCCCAGAAGAGGAATAAATGAATCAAAGGCTTCATATTTCAAAGGCCTTTTAATATGTATCACCAAAATTACCCTCAGAAACAAGGTGATTATATTTTCAACCACAATAAATGAGTGCCTATTTTTCCAACCCTCATTATTATTGGACGATTTTGATAGAAAAACTTTTCTTTGGTGATTTTTTTATTGTAATAAAATAGATATAACATACAATTTACCATTTTAATCTTTTTAAGTGTATAATTCAGTAGCATTAAATACATTCACAATGTTGAGCAACCATCATCCCTATTTCTAGAACTTTTTCATCATCCCAAACAGAAACTCTCTACCCATTAAACAAAGCAAAACTAAGAAATAATTTTTAGAAACATTGCTGTATGATATTTAATTCCATCAGCAATACTCTGCCCTCCTCCCAAGACTTTGGAATTCTTCTGTATTAGTCAGACTAGGACAGGCTGTACTGTGGTAACAAACACCTCCAGAACCTCTTGTCTTACACAACAAGTGCTTGTTTCTCATTCAACTTACATATTCTGTGCCGGTCAGTGAGTGTATCTCCTTCTCACAGTCTCTGAGAGGTCCAGGCTAATGGAGGCCAGATCGTTTCATCGCTTTCCCGCTTGAAACATAAGGAGTTCGTGGTGACGAAGGAGGGCAAGAAAGTGCCGTCGAGCCTCGCACCAGCAATCAAACGCTTCACCAGGAGGAGACGCGTGTCCCTTCCACGTAGCCAGGAGAACCTGCTGAGAACTGATAACAGGAAATACAGCAGAGGGTGGCAAGTATATTCCTCCCATGTTGCCGAAAAGAGAGAAGCACTGGAAATTTCTGCATCTTCATTCATATACTTACTGATACACAACAGCTTCGTTTTACTATTGGCAAAGTATTTTTTACTAATAACGGACCTCATGCATTAATGTTTCACTTTATAGAGTGCCACAAGAAATCTTGGAATAAGAAGTGAAAAAATTAATTGAGAAGAATAACCATTTGATTTGAGTAAAAAGTCACGTGTCACAGAGATATGTAAACACCCTGCTGCAGCTAAATTTTGGGCCCAGTTTTCCAACAGCACTGGCCCTCTGATTTTCATGTAGTTAGTTTGGCATGCCACTGTGGATGCCCCATGGAGCATGATATATATTGACAAACACTTTTCAAGTTCATTAGCTAGTTTTTTGAGAAATGGGAAATCGCCCTGGCCGGTTTGGCTCAGCGGTTAGAGCATCGGCCTACGGTCCAGAGAAATGGGAAATCAAAACTTAATTTTTCACTAAACATGCACTCTTTCTTTTAGCTCATTTCTGCAAAAAAAGAAAAAAAAAGTGTAGCTCATTTGTACCAAAAAAAACCCCCAAAAGCCCCAGCTGGTTTGCTCAGTGGTTAGAGCGTTGGCCAGCAGACGAGAGTCCCAGGTTCGTTTCCCCGCTAGGGGCTCGTACCTCGGTTGCAGTTTGTCCCTGGCCCCAGTTGGGGTCGTGTGGGTGGCAATCACTTGATGAGTCTCTCTTACATCGAAATTTCTCTCTCTCTCTTCCTCCCTCTCTCCCTCCTGCTCTATCTGAAGAAAAATGCAAAAATGTCCTTGGCTGAGGATAAAAAACAACAACACAAAAACCCAAAAAAACAGTATTACCAAATAGTAAAGTATTTAAATAGTTGTAGATTTGTACAATACAATAAAGGACGAACTACTGCAGCAATGGAGTTAAGACTATGCTATGCACTAGGGCAGCTCTATTAGACCTTCATTTCCTTGCACATCTTACACTCAACCTACACTTGCCTATGCTTCCTTTGCCCTTGCTGGCAGGTGGTGTGGCAGCTTCACTCATCTTGCAGGTTATTGCATGGGCCATTCGCAAACTGGCTGGTATTCCAAGTAGCCAGCAACTATAGCATTGTCAGTGACTTCTCCTATGGCTGCTGAAAGGAGTAGTTGTCTCTACCTGGTCAGATCCACTTAGAAATCGAAACTCCAGGACAATAGGTGTGAAGCAAGCCAGTTCCAGACATAAGGAGATGTATTAGTCAGGGTTCTCCAGAGAAACAGAACCAATAGGATAAATGTGTGTGTGTGTGTGTATCTATATCTATATCTGTATCATCTATATCTATATCTATTTCTATATCTATATCTATATTTGTTTATTTAGTAATTATAGGAATGGGCCTGTGTGGTTATAGAGGCCCAAAAGTCCCACAGTCTGCCATCTGCAAGGTGGAGAGCCCGGAAAGCCAATGATGTAATTTAGTCTGAGGCTGAAGGCCTGAGAACCAGGAGCTCCGATATCCAGTGTCTGATGGCAAGTGAAAATGGACATCCCAGTTCAAAAGAAGAGAGGGAATTCACGCTTTATTTGCCTTTTTGTTCTATTCATGCTCTCAATAGACTAGATTGGGAGATGCCCACCCTCGTTGGTGAGGGTGGATCTCTTCCCTTAGTCTACTGAATTAAATGCCAATCTCCTCCAGAAACACTCTCACGACATAGTCAGAAGTGATGTTTTACCATCGCATAAAATTAACCAGCACAGAGCACTTAAGGTTATGTGACTTAAAGCTCAGCACCCAGCGATGCTAACTTAATAACCTTTTGCTCCAGTGTGTGCCTGAAGGTCCATTGCCTTCTAGTACCATTCTAGGTATTTATTAATTTTCTTTGGTTGCAAGGAAAAACAACTCTGACTCTGGCAATTTAAGCAAAAAGGCATTTCATTCAAAGTATGTGGGGTGCTAAAGGAAGCCCAAAGAATCAGGGAAGAAGCTGGGTCGCCTGCCAGGCAGCAGGTCTCTTTCGACACTCTTGGCTGAAACAGATGAACTTTGCTTCTCCTGTGAGGGCTTTACTATGTTCAAGAGTCAAAGTCCTGGGAAAGAGAGTCTGGTTGGCCGAGTGTAGGTCATATGCCCCGCCCTTGGCAATGGCAGGCCTGAGAGGCAGGATTAGCAGAAGAAGCCTCTAGCTATCTCTGGATGCCCTAGTGGGAGGCAGGCATATGAATGTTACCAAGACTTTGTACTATGTGGGAAAATGGTTATCCAGGTGGAAATCAGGGTGCTGTTGGGCAGTGGGAATGAAGGCTAAACATTAAAAAAAACGCCAGTGTTGCCCTGGCCACTGTGGCTCAGTTGGTTGAGCATTGTCCCATGTACCCAAATGTCACCAGTTCAATTCTCAGTCAGGGCACATGCCTGGGTTGTGTATTCAATCCCCGGTCAGAGTGCATGCGGGAGGTAACCAACTGATGTTTCTCTCTCTTTCCGTCTCTCTTCTCTCTTTCAAATAAAAAAAAAAAATTTATAAAAAAATCCTTGGCTTAAAAAAAATGCCAGTGTTCACCACTGAGAGTGAAAAAAGTGGTCATCAAAGCCCATGAAACCCATGAAGCCATCAGTTGAGTTGATTTGTGCTGATTTATTTTCCTAGTTTCCAATTGTTAGATTGCTTCCTTTTTTTTTTTTCTGCAACAAACAGCTCTAAGCATATACATCTAAAACACTATGTTCTTAGGACTAATTGTCAGGTCTGGAATTATTATGTCCAGAGGTAAGACATGCCCTGGCCAGTTTGGCTTAGCAGTTAGAACCTCGGCCATGGACCAACGAGTCATGGGTTCAATACTGGTCAAGGGCATATCCCTTGGTTGCGGTTCTTCCTCGGCCCTGGTAGGGTCGTGCAGGAGGCAACCAGTCGATGTGGCTCTATCACATCAACGTTTCTCTCTGTCTCTCTCTCTCCCTCCCTCCCATTCTATCTGATGATAAATAGAAAAATATGAGGAATAAAAAAAAAGATAAGACATGAATATTTATACTTTCTTTATTTTCTATTCTACTCAAGTGCCCTTGGACTCTGAGTAGATACCTCTGATCATGGCAGATTGGCTTTTCAGTGCCTAGATAACGTCCCAGGGCAGGTCACCCTGTGGAAAGCTCTCTGTGGGTCATACCAGGGGCATTTGTGGTACATACTCTTGAGAGCTCCTCTCTTTCCCTCTGACTAACATATTTTATATCCATTGCTATCTGGATGAAATAAACTGCAAGGTCACTGCCCAGGTAGCTGGTCCACATGGAATAGAAAAGAGGGCGGCGTTTGCTTGAGGGATCTTTGGGCAGTGGGAGTGCCTGCCGATATGTGTCAGCACGTACAGTGCGATGTACCCAACTCCCTCTTCTCCACGCCAGGTCTCCCCAGAAGCTGGGCACAGGGGAAGCAGTGATTGTGTTATGACTGGGAAGGACACTCCACCTGGGGAGGACACTGGCCATGTGCCTTGACCCACAACTCCTTGAGGCAGGTTCTTCGAACTCCAAACTTGAAAAGGTGAGCACTCTAGATTCCTTCAGAGGATTTTCATTTCAATGTGAGAGAACTGGAAAACTCTCCCCCTGACCCTGCCCGCACAGCCATTCCCCAATCCCCACCCAAGCTCCACTGGGAACATCCACTTCTCAGGCAGACCGCCAACTTGGCTGGACTAAGTAGCAGGGTCCTTTGCTTCATAATTATCCATATGTCAGCATATTCCTCATGGCCAGAGTACAACAGATTGCAGCGCCTTGAAATAAGGGCCTGCCTTGCCTTCGTATTTCTTGTAGCATTGTGCACGGTGCCTTGCCCACTCCAGCTTTTCAATCAGTATTTACCGACTGAATATCCTTAGGTGAGTGAAGTAGGTCTAGAACTTCTTTGGGGCTCAAACTCTGGCAAGTTATGATGTCTAGGAGGTGTTGGAAAGGGTGCATTCTCCCTGGAAACAATCAGGGGACCCTGGAGGAGTTCTGAATCACCAGCGCAGTGTTCTTGAGGACAGAAGCAAGCCTGGTGCAGGAGCAGATGGGACAGGCCTGCACACCCTCAGCATGGGCTGCGTGTCAGCCCACGGTGCTCCAGCCACATGGCCTTTTTCAATTTCCTGTACTAGTTCTTCAACAAAGCTTCCTCTGGGGATGTTTCTTCCCTCTCCGCATAACATCTACTTCACCTCTGCCCACTAACTCCTCATCCTGAAGACTTCAACTTAATTGTCAATTCCTCACAGACGTCTCAGGATAGGCCCGATTCCGCCGTTATAGCACCATGTACTGTGCATACAGCTCTTTCCTAGAATTTGTGAGTTTTCTTTTTTCTTTTGCAGTACCAGAAACACATTTTTTTATTTGTTCATTTCTCGCATTGAAGTGCTCTTCAATGACATCCTTGGCCTGAGACTCTTTGCCATAGTCCTTAACTACCACACAACAGCAACCAACCACTTTGTGGGTTTCCCTGTCAGTCTTCCAGAGGCCTACCCCTTCCTAGGGTTCTTGACGAGGCATCTGGGATCCAGCACAAAGGGCCTCCGGCAGCCTGACTGGCTCGTCACAGCTGGATGCAAGCAGTGGTCAGATGGGCACTTGGAGGCATTGGCAGTTTCTCGAACTCTGTGTGCTGGGCCCTCGTGGATCAGGCCGACTTCAGAGCCTCTTGTAAAGTAGTATTAACATCCATTCACATCCACCTGCAGTGTCTTCCTCGGCCTTGGCTGCCTGTGGGTTACAGGTGGAGCTGGATCTTGAGTGCACGAACTCCACCGCAGGGTAAGAGCCAGAGTTTTCATATTTGGATTTGTAATTATTTGATATGTTCTTTCTGTCTGACTGGAGACTGTTACTGCATGAGAGTATGAGTGTGTGTGTGTGTGTATGAAAGAGAGAGAGATTTACTATAGGAATTGTCTCATGGAGTTATGGAGGCCAA